TCTGAGATTATTGAAACTACGGTTTTATCTGAAAGAAATGAACAACCGATGCTTATAACTAAATATTATTTTGAACATGGCGAACCTTACGTGTGGAGTTCTAGAAAACGTAAAAAAGAAAAATTGAAAGAAATGGTAACCAAAACTGACACATTACCGAACGTAACCTGGAAAAATTTTAATTGGACACAAGATTTTCATACATTAAAATTGATGACAACCGAATCAGGTAATTTTATATGGCTTTAAATTTTAATTATTATATTCATGTTATACATGTAACTTACCACCATTAAATAAATATAATTTTAGAAACCAAGCCACTGACTACCAACGCAAAAGCTTCTACATTAGCTGAACAAATAATTCAAAAATCCTCACAAAGTAGCACCTCTGAAAAATTATCTTCTGTATCGAAACAAGAAAATGTCTCAAGATCAACCAGAGCAACAGTATTAAGTCCAGAAAAACAAACAACCCTAGCCTCTATTGAATCCAGAAAAGAAATTTCTTCAACAAAACCAATCAGCTCATTTAGCCTAGAAGAAGAAACATCATTAGAAACTAACACCGTTGTATCAATAAAAGAGACTACATCTTTAGAAACACATGCAAGTGCTCTGTCTGAAGATAGTACCGTTCAAGCTACTATAAAAACTACAAAACCTGCAGAAATTCAGTTAAGTCATGTAACTGAAGATAAGGCTAATTCTTCAGAACTAATAAGCACCACTACTGAAAAAACTGGCATATCTATCAAAGAAACTATTGAAGATACTAAATTAACAACCAAAATCCACAGTGAACAAGAATCTGAAGTAGTAAGTGTTGCTACTTCAGAAAAAATATCTTCTTCAGAGCCAAGTATAAACCATGAAAGTGTTTCAATAACCAAAACAGATACATCGTCAACACATACAGAACCAAATACTGAAGAATCTACATCTTCAATTTCTTCACGACAAGTTAAGTACACAGTAGAAAGTACATCAACTTATTCAACTCCTTCAACTTCATTAAACTTAAATACTATAAAATCTTGGAAGAAATTTTCATGGCCTACTCAGACTTTCATAAATGAAGAAATATTGGAAGCAGAAGAAGAGAAACTAAGGAATGCCGCAACTTCTACAACAATAAAAAAGATTACAACTAAAAGTAAGTTAGCCCAAACACAAAATAATTTAATTTTAATATTTTTTTTTTCTTATAGCTACAACTACAATTAAATCGTTTTTGGAAGCTGAAGAACAGTCAGGAACAGAATTCACTGGTGTTTACATACCAGAGGAAACTACCACACGCGCATATTTTTCTGATTTCTTCTTATTCACTGAAAAGACACCAAAAGAGGTAAACGCAGAGGAAGTTCAGCGTAAATTAGCAAGTAAAAATCTAAACGTTGCCGAAACAATTGGCACTATCTTGCCGAAATTCAGTGAAACGAGTGATAGAGATCAGAAAAAATTGCACAGCGTAGTAGATAATCTGTTGAAAGATAATCCTTTAGACAATACAGAACATGAAGCAGAAAAACATGTTAAAGGAGAGCTGGAAACGAAGTTTACAGACTCAGGTAAAATAAGAAAAATAAAAATCCTTATTACACTTTAGTAAAATAAGCTACCTGAACATGTATGGACTCGGGACTTACAGTTTATCGTCTCATCTGAAAGACGGCATATCCATAAAACTATAAGAAGAAGGTTTAATATTACGCAGATTGATACTATACGTCACGGTGACGTAATGTGGTGGAAAGTGTGGCACATACGAATGCAACGTATCAGCTGATCAAAAACAATGTGCAAAAATAATTTTAATCGGCTCATGGCCAATCAGATAACCATATTGCACACCACAATACGTCATACGCAAATTCGACGAGATTTCATCGGCTAAGTATCATACCTCTGTTTTTTTTTTGTATTCTACGGCACATCCATGTTTAATATATCGTACTGAGGTGGAACTATGTTTACACTTTGAAGCGAGTTGAAAAGCGACCTTCTTTGCAATAGTTAAGCCAATTGGTAACGAGCCAGTAATGTAGCGAGAAATTGCTTCAAAGCTGTGCAGTTAAATGAACATAGTTCTAAAACCCGACATTTGTAAGACGACATCACAGCAAAGTATGAACATAGTTTCACTGCTGAAGTAGTGAATGTAAAGTAAGATATGCTAGAACTCCATAGTATTTTATCTACGTCACTAGCATTCAGCAGAAATGCTAGATGGGTCACGCACATAATGCAGTATAATGAAATTGGCTTATATTATAATTGGCAACAGCATATCAGATCGACCATGACGTCACGTCTATCCATTAAGACGGGAATAGCGTGGTTACCGTTATGTCGCTCTCAACATGGCTCTGCCAGACAGGAAAAATAAGTACTGCATAATTCTTAAATAAAGTAAAATAAAGTCTAAACTTAACAGCCTGGTTAAAAAGTTAATACTTTTACTTTGACTAGATATGAAAGTTACATGTGGTACTGAAAGGCATTTATAAATTATTAGTGAAATAACCCAACCTATTTATGACAGTTACCTATACAAGGTGTTTCAAAAAAACATTGGCCAAATAAGACTTTATTTCGTATCAACATAGGTTCGATTTTGCTTCGTTAAACATGCCCAACAGATAATTTCAGTAGGTTAACTATTATGGTAGCGCTTAATCAGTTACATGTTCAGTCAAATAATAGAGATTTAATTGCCTGTATAATACTTTTTTTCCATAGTCTAAACAGTTAAAAAGGGAGAAGATAATCAGCCTATAGCTGCTAGGTATTTAAATTATTGTTCCTACAAACACTCTATTTTAACATATTTTTGTTTTATCTCCTTCCTGGATTCGAACTCATGATACCACTCAACCTCGATCAGAAAGTACACTCCTCAACCTACTAGCCCACCTAATAACCTGACAAATTACTAACATTTTACGGTACTACTAAATATAACGTTTTTAAATTTTGTTCACAATTTTCTCAATTTTTCTTTTACATTTTTTTATTACTATAATACATCATTTTATTTGATTTTCTAATATTGCTCTTACAACTGCTTATATCTAAATATCAGAAAGAGAACAGCACTTTAAACTAAAATGGGTTTTTTAATCGCCAACATTTTATTATTTTATTTAGACAATACATGGCTGAAAAAATAGTATTAAAGCAATAGTTCAGAAGCATTAAACTTCATTCTTCAGCCAGTTCATATTAACCCATTGTGTCACGGACCTCATTTTTTTTATAAATTTATTTAAAAACATATATAAGGATGCTATAGTATTCAAATTAAAGTAAAATACTTATTTTTAAATTTTTTGCATAACTAGCAGGGGCAGGGGGGCCGGTACTTATAAGTACCGTTGTGACTAAAGAGATATATGTGTATGGACTTATAAGTACCGCTAAGTCTAAATAAACAACCAGTTACATTTTGCTAATTATATTACTGAAAAATACAAAATAATAAAAACATTATGATTGGAGGTCCATATCGTCGTATATAAGAAAACAATTGTTTTTCTCATTCACACATAATTGTACCTTACTTGGAATGTGGTTTTGATACGTAAAGCCATTGAGGAACATTGTTCACACCTGCCCCTAGAGGAAACAAAAATTGGAAAATGAACACTCTTGTTACCAAGTCTCACATCATTAAATACACTAGAGTTATATCTTCTACGTTTTGCACAGTTTGGAACATTTTGAATTTCTCTCGACCTTCTCTTGTTTAATAATTTAATTGAGTTTTGGCTCATTAGATCTAGACTAAAACCTCGTCTAAATTCCAACAGAGATAAGGTTTTTTCTTCAGACTGCATTTTTTTATACACAATATAACTATTTACGAACACAATATCCAGAATTACAAAGAACAGACGATGCCACCATTTTTTGGATCGTCTGTTCACACAGTAAGCTTGCCTCAAACGGTCTGAATTAACCACTACCGCCCATAAATTGATTGTAGTCCTTGACAATAGCTGGATAAGAAACTTGCATTTTTGTGCCATCTTTCTGCAAACAGATACTTCAGTTTTTTCAGTGCCGTCATAGTTGGACAAAAAATTAACCACACGGTTGTCAAACCATTTGAAAGAGATTGGAAACTCTATAATCTAGGTTGCCCCGTATCATAGATTTGTCGTCAGTTAAATCCTTTGGTTAACCTAATATATCTCTAAGGACTATTCCATAAGCTAATACCTTTTCATTTTGTAATTTTTCTAACAGAGGTGAAGTAGTTGCCAAAATAAAGTTTTCTATTTTGACGCCAATAGCTTTCAGATAAAGACAGTACGACTTTTTCTTCTAAAACGTAACCTTTGAATCTTTCCTCTGTTACCTCGTCCTTTCCTTGAAATACACAAAACTTTTTCACATACTCTTTTTTATCGGCAATGCACCACAATTTATATCCCTTCTTTATGGGCTTCTCGGACTGTACTGCTTCAGGGAGGATCGCCCTTTGAACAAAATCCTGCTCTCATCTACAGCTTGCTCTAACTTATCAAATATGATGTTTAGAGCTGTTTGAAGTGGGCGCAATTTTAAATATTTTGTATTTATTTCCTTCAGGAATTGTAGTATTGTCGTTTATGTAAATATAATAAAATCTGATCGAATCGATTTCTGCTCTTTGTTTGACGTATCATTGGGATACCTAAGTCTTCTTGTGTTGACCAATAATGCTTATAGCTCGGAAGTCGGTGATTCCCTTAAAAAAATGTATACCACTAAATGCAAGTAATTCTTCTTTCAGATTTAGGACTTTTTCCCTTTGTGTGGCATATAAATTTGACTGATAGTTAATACTTTGTATTATTTTTAATTCTAAAAATTTTAGAAAAATATCAGCCTTACAACCTTGAAAATGCTCATCAATTGGGTTTACCCAAATTGTATTCTGGTATGGATGTTTCAGTTTCTTTTTTCTTCCATTTATGTTTTGCAATTTCTTCTGCCTTTTTTCCTATTTTATTTTTTCCCAACCTTTCTTCTTTCTTTTTGGTTTATTTTGCTAATTTCCTTCCTGACGTCTTCTTCTGAATCTGCCTCATCGTCATTTTTATTTATTTGTTTACTGGTAGATTGTTTGGCATCATCTGCATCCGAAACAGTTTCAGTATCAGCTTCTTCGATTTCATTATCTAGCATACTAGTATCCTCATCTTCATTATCTTCTTTATCCGTGACCAGAGCGTTATCCATAGGCAATTCATATAACTCATTAGTTGTCTCATCCGCAGCTCGTGAAAGCTCCTCATCCGTGAGAAATCTTCCTTTCCTCCACGACATTATTTTTCTTATTGGGAGAATTTCGCTGTACGTTCGACCTTCTGAAAAATGAAAATAAACATTATTTTTTAGTGAAATCCTGACTAGGCTGGTGGGTCCGCAAGGCCCCCCCTTCCCTTCAACCCTTTCCATCAAATTAATCGGTCATTGCAGTGCAATTAAAAAATAAAAATCCTTGAGTCTCCTATTTTATAATTAGTTAATTGAAAAAAAAAATACGGATGACGCTGCTTCTATGAAAAATAAAATAAGTATTATGTAAACCTTCCTACCCCAAAAAATGCCTCCCCTACGTTCAAAACGCGGACCTTATGCAAGTAGTAGTCAATAATATTGATTTTGCCTGAAAACATAAAAAAATGGGTAATCGAAAATGCTTACCTTGTTTGGTTCTGACGGTACTCAAAAGTCCACCAATCAAAAACTTTGTTTTTATTTAATTTTATAAAAATATTAAAAAAACTAATTATTTTATTTAATAAAGTAAACACCAATTTTCTAGTTTCTGCGTAAATACAAATATATGTCATTTAGTAAGTAAAATACAACATAAATAAACAGCACTAATGAACTGTCCCTTCACAGATCATGAGAAGCTAATCTGAAGTGCTCTATGTAAACTATAGTTTCCAAATATCAAAATTGGTGGCGCTGTTTCCTATTAATAAAGGTGTACTTGTGAGTACCAATGGGACTCCAACGCTATAAAGTTAATATGCGTATAAATATTGGAAAAGAAATTCGACAGGACTTTAAAGTACCGTCGTGACACTTAAAAGAAAGGCTAAAAAGTAGTATAGGTATAACAAAGCCAAATTATCCTTCCTTCAGATTGTTTTATATTTTTGAAGAAGCGAACTGTTGCAACAGGTCAATGGACAGCTAAATTTAAACTACTTAACAATAGTAACAAAATAAGCTGCATTGTAACTTATTCAACCTAATATTAAGCTTATATAATTGCTGATGAGTGGTATACTTTAGGACTACAACAGGGGTTGTTCAGCTTTATGTTGAGCCTATACTAACTAGCTGTATAAAGGTATAAAATTTGACTTGAGTTGCGCTCTTTCAACCTATTGTGCAGCATATTTCTAATTGCTGATTAGTAATGTACTCTAGGGCTGCAACAGAGCTTCTTCGGCTTTATGTTCAGCCTATACCAAGTAGCTGAATAAAGGTATACAATTTGACTTAAGTAAGGCTCTTCCATCCTATTAGGCAGCATATTTTTAATTGCTGATTAGTGGTGTCCTTTAGGGCTGCAACAAAGCTTCTTTAGCTTTATGTTCAGCCTATACCAAGTAGCTGAATAAAGGTATAGAATTTGACTTAAGTAGTACTCTTCCAGCCTGTTGTGCAGCTAACGTTAATTAGCAATACAAGAGTTTACAGAGAAGCAAAAGAGGCTTCTGTGCAACCTATTGATCAGCCAGTTGGCTTATTCAGGCTTCGCCACTACTACACTCTTATACATCAGATAAATTTCTGATCAAATCAAACCAGCTTTAGATGTTACTTGGGTGGCAAAGGACAATAGAATAAAAAGTACAGGTTAAAACTTTGTTTAATTTCGATTAAAAAATTCCTCCTGGTATTTTTTCGAATTTACTGTCATTTGCGAAATAATAATGACACTTTGTAGCTCCCAAAGAAGCAGAATCGGATCTACATCGATATGAAAAAAAAATTATTTGTATATGAGAAATCTACCTAGGAACGTTGGCCAATGTTTTTTGAAACTAGTAATTTAATATTTTTTTGAATTTGGCGACATAAATGAATATTCAAGAGGGATAGCCATAGGTTAAAGTTGTAGTTAATTTAAAAACTTAGAAACACAGGTACCAACGCCTACTTTTTTTTAACATTTAAAGTTTATATCGTCAAATATATTGGTGTTTATTTATCACTTTTATTATTTTTACGACTTTAAAACTAGGTTATTTCGTGAGAAATACTCAAATATTTATTAAATTTGTAATTATTTCTGGATCTTAATGGGTTTTTATCAACGACGAACAACTACTAGACTAATTTTGTGTACAAAAATCGAATTGCAAACATTCACGGTGTCTTCACGTAGTTGTCACGATACACAGACTCACGATACAGTCTTGCGCATGCAGCTGACTGACGGTGACATCACGTAGGACGTAGATTTATTAGCATTATATGAGAAATATTGTTTAAAATTAGATATTTTGCTTTTTTTTAGGTTTTATTTAGTTACTTAAACTTTCTGGTTTATTTTGTAATACAGAGTGGCCCAAAAGTCTGGAAACGGCCAATTATCTCGTAAATTGCTAGTCCTAATTGTACAAAATTTGGGGTACACCTATTTTGGGATACGATGATTCCAGATTTAATATTTGCAATGTTGCCAGATTTGCCGTTTCTCTTAAATTATTAGTCACTTTGATTTTTCGAATTGATCACCCTGTATATTCAGTTATTATTAAAATTTCCTGTTCAATACGAGTTCAACCATATGTAACACTTATGATTTTATGTAGTCTGGAAGGTCTTAAATAAACAAAATAAGTCTGGCATCGCCTAATTGTCTCAATAAATTTTTTAATACAAACTATTTTCAACTACATTAAAACGTAACAATTGAAAGATTATAACATTTTTAACATAATGGTTACTTTATCAAGTGTTCAAAATGTGATCCATTTGTGAGTTGACAGTACCCCTTAATCGATGGTAGAATGCGTTTCCCACATTTCTCCATGATTGTTTTATTTATTTAAGACCTTCCAGACCACATAAAATCATAAGTGTTATATATGGTTGAACTCGTATTGAATAGGAGATTCCAATAATGACTTAATATATAGAGTGATGAATTTGAAAAACCAAAGTGACTAATAATATAAGACAAACGGCAAATCTGGCAACATTGCAAATATCAAATCTGGAATCTCCGTATCCCAAAATAGGTGTACCCCAAATTTTGTATAATTAGGATTAGCACTTTACGAGATAATTGGCCGTTTCCAGACTTTTGTTTACAAATATGAAGGTTTAAAGAAAATAATTCTATAATTATAGGTATTTTGTGACAAAATGCCTACTCCAGTTATAAGATAAGTACAGAACCTGAGTACAGAATATATATTAAAAATATTTTTCTAAATTACTCCTACCGTCTCTTCCCTTATTATTTGAAATAAAACAGGTACAGAAACAAATTATTTATTTGCAAAAAGTGTAAGTTCACAAAAAATTACTTTTGTTCTAAGATCCGAAGTAAGGTCGACTTTCAACCATCTATTTAACGGGTGAAAGTTTCGTTTTATTAAATAAAATATGTTTATAAATATTTCGAAAATACGGTCATGACTATTTATTTTCTCAAAGTAAAAAAAAACGACACTCTCTAAAGTATTCCTCAACTGCTTCGACTATGCCCAAACTTCAATCAACTCAACGTAGAATGGGTTAAAGCTTATGTTTGAGTTTAGTGTTTTTCTCTTCTTCCGTTTTTGAGTCATCTTCAAAATTGGAAATTTTGCAGTTTTCCTCAAATATCCCGAATTAAGTCCATTTTTGGGAAATCATGTATAGGAACAAAATTATAGAGAATGACATCATAAGCAACTTTTATCATGATTCTTATACTTTTGTTATCTTTATACAGAGAGGAAAGTAAAAAATGGCCGAGACAGTATTTTCTTAGGCAACCCTTTTGAGGTATATTTATTAACATATTTTATTTAATAGACAAAAACATTAATCCATTAAACAGATGGGTAAAGGTCGACCTTACTTAAGGATCCTGTACTATTTTTAAAATTGGGAAATTTAAATAAACTATTTTAGCGCGAAACTAGAACAATTGTATAATACGGAGAATAATCGATTATGTTTGTATCCTATTATTGGATATGATTACTTTAAAAAGGACATGAAGCTACAGTTTTATCAGCTAAAATTTTAAAAATGTTCTTGTCTTTACTTAATAAGGTCCCAGGCATCTGGTGGAATTCAGTTTCCATTTTTTGCCCAACTTCCCATAATTCTTGTACAGGGTTATTTAATAAATAATTAATTTACCATTCGAAAGTATTTGAAATATTTAGTTGCTTTGTGTGTATTCTCAAAGTTGGATATTTATTTCTAAATTTAAAAACTTCATATCCTTCAAAGAACATTAAGGCTTCTAAATGTACTTTCTTACATATTTCAAATTTGTCCATAAGAAACGCACTCCGAGAAGTTACCAGAAAAAGTTTTGAGCACTATCTGACTCATAGAGGATGAATTTCTAGAGATTCTATACCGTCCAGAATCTACTCGAGCAGAGCTGGCTTTATATAAACAACACGACATTATTTATCAGTTCAGTTGAAGTTTGAATATAAATGTGGTCAAAAAGATAAATTGTAAAAATAAGCTTAAGCACAATGATTAAGTACTAAATAAATTAATTGTATGTAGTGCAAATAAATTATAAATAAATATTTTAAATGAATAAACTATTTTTAAATTAAACAATCGTACATTATAATTCGGTATTGACTAAACATAAGGCTCCAAAGTGCACAAAAGGCTTTCAAATTATTAGTTTAATGTATTTTTCTCGTTGGAATTATTATAGTTGTATTCGCTCCGTGCGAAGTCATGGAAAGGGAAGCAAAAGCGATACTAGCGCTAGCTGCGGATAATTCGTGCATTTTAGGGCGATATTTTGTAATTTTGGCATATCAAATACACGTCCGGAGTTGCTGTGTTGAAAATTGAACAAATACTAGCAAAAAAAACAGTGAAACTTATATAAAAAATTTCAGTAGCAAAGTGAAAATTAAATCAAAGAAATAAATGGATAGATATACAATATTTTTATATACAATTATTTTTGTAATAATAACCGTAATGCTAATAGTAGACATCAGAAACTTGAAAGGTTTTAAATCAACAATAAATTATCATTTTACCATGTTCTTTAATATCCCTTATTCTTAAATGTTCATTCAGCAAGGACTAGATTTCAAGATTTCTGCCTTTGATTATTATATGTGGTTGGAACGCAATTTACTGATGGGAAATCAGTTTAAATCATTCATTGTATGTTTTCTTTCGAACAAAAATGAAAATATAAGTAATGATCCTTTTTTTATACATTTTAACTTCACGCTATTATTAAATGGAATTTTTTTATTTTGACAGATTAGAGTAATTCTTCAATGAAAACTTATTAGACTTAGGCAACTTCTCATACAATTTCCAGTAAATACTGTTGCCTGCCTATATTTTATTATTCAATTTTATCGATTATACATAATTTTCTTTAATTTAAGCGATAAAAATATATAATAATAATAAATTAATGTTTTACTTGTTTTACAAATCCATATACTTTTATTAAAACTACCATATATACTTTTTAATTACGAATTCTATTAAAAGTTGCATAATTCAAACACAATACACGACAAAATAACTCACTTTTGTGAAAAGTAAATAACTGTAATAAGCCATATAAACACACTACAAGTCTTTGAGGACAAATAATTAATATTACGTTCTATTTGTTAATAAAATGATGCAAATAGAGTAGTAATACTGGTTTCCTAGATGTCAGTAATTTCTTACCAAAACACAATTTTATAAATCTAGTCAAATTTAGAAAAAATATTGTATGTAACACGTTACGAAATGCTGTTTTATGTAACTCGTTAATGTTGAGACCTCGCTCTGCTCGGTCCGCAAATATTCCCTCGTAACATAAAATAAGGCATTTCGTAACTGGTTTCATAAATAGCTATTGAAGTAAGACAACACTGTAAAGCAAGCGTAGTAGTAGTAAATACTAAATCATTCTTAAAGCGCACGCTAGCTCCTAAGATAAACAATCTCGCACATAACATCCCCACTCAAACGAGCAGCTATCTCCTTCTTTCTAATGCAGCAGCCGATGCGACAGCTCTGTCAGCCTAATAATAAATACAATACAAATGATTGCAATAAAGAAGGGCTTTATTGTGAATGAATAGATTATTCTAGTAGTTTTTTGTCGTTGATTTTTACATTACAATTTGTTAATAATTACATTATGCAGTAATTAAGTTTTTATATAATAATATTCTTGCAGGCTCAGAAATATTGACTGGTACAGTAATGTCAAACTTCGATGTGAAAACACCGACTGCAGCTTCTACACTAACAGGTAGTTAATAGATTACGTTAACAGAATAATTGATTTTTATAATAATAAAATAAACTAGTGAGATTACATTTTGAAATATTTAAATTTGTTTCTTGTCACGAAAATTAAGAAGTTGATGAAATTATAACTACAGACATCAATTTAAGTAAATAGCACCACAATCGGGAGCTTATTTCAAACTAGCAGTGGGGATAGAAACAGAAAATTTTAAAACCCGTTAATTAAGTAATACAAATTTGTAATTCAGAAAAAAAATTAAATAAAATTAAAAATCCAGTAGAAATTACCTGCTTTTTTTCAAATACAAATTGTCATTTTTTAGAGCATACACTTACCGCTTATACGAGGCGTGTATTTAAAATAAGGTCTCCATTGCTAGGCGAAATCCAGCAATACTGTCGTGTACGTTGGGCTTTCCTTCACAAAAAAGTACCCGGCAGAATTCCGTGGAATCCTCAGTGTCGACGTAGTAGCCCCGTTCAAGATAAAGGTTCTAGTTGTTGTTCCTACCAAGTACGAGTTACGGTCTGTTATTAAATTTTTATTTGCTTTAAAATTCCTCTTAGAAATTCGTCGGACGAAGTTCGAGGTGGGAAATGTATGGATGTGAAAAACATTCGAAAATGGTGTAGAAAATTTTCTGCTGATCTCCCAAAGGTCTACGATGAGGAGCGAAGGAGCAGGCTATCGCACGCGGTCGAAACATTACAGAAAGTTGAGGCACTTGTGCTGGAAGATCGCAGGTTGACCCTTGATGAGCTGACCGAAAAACTTTAAGGAGTATGAAGCACTCAATTTTGGCGAATAATCTGCAATACCGAAAATTGTCAGCCAGATGGATCCCAAAAATGCTAACGCGGAACACAAAGTGAAGCGCGTCCAATGTGCCCAAGAATTTCTTGAAGAAGAGGAAAAATAATTTTTTGATTCAATAGTCATAAGAGATTAAACATGTCCTGACGTCACCTCCTGTGGCTTTCACATATTTCCTGTCCTAAAAAACATCTGAGAGGAACAAAATTTGCGAGCTATATGAAGCGGCCTTCTCCTTACTGCGCGAGGCGACGGAATCTTGGTTCGAGCAGGGGATACAAAAGATAGTCGTTTACATAAAAAATAGCTTAGATTTTAAGCTTTCGAATAATGTAACATACTTTAAAAATAAATGTAATTTATTATGAAAAAATAAATAAAAATAAAGACCTTACTTTAAATACAGACTTCGTATGTTATTCCTGAAGATTTATTTTTATCTACACCAGATCATGGTGAAAATAGGACCGTTAAATAAGAAAAGTTGCACCGATTTACGATTTAAGTGCCTTAAAATAAGACATTGATATGCAACGTTGATATAAATAAAAAGGGAAATGTATTAAAGTCGCCCATTTTTACCTGCATATATGTTTACAAGCAGAAACAACCATGTATAAATTATTTCAGGATTAGCACTTAATAATAATAATAATAATAATAATATAATAATAATAATAATAATAATAATAATAATAATAATAATAATAATAATAATAATAATAATAATAATAATAATAATAATAATAATAATAATAATAATAATAATAATAATAATAATAATAATAATAATAATAATAATAATAATAATAATAATAATAATAATAATAATAATAATAATAATAATAATAATAATAATAATAATAATAATATAATAATAATATTAATAATAATAATAATAATAATAATAATAATAAGAATAATAATAATAATAATAATAATAATAATAATAATAATAAATCGTTTATTGTTTACCATAAAAAAATATATAATCATTCGTTTACTTATATCTAGAAATCCACTAGTAAACAAAAGGAGTGATGATAGGTCTAGAGACCAATTCTTCCTCATCATCCTAAAATAAAAAGTAATACAAATAATAATAATGCAACAATTAAATAATTATATGTATGAAGTTACAGACCTTAACTAACATTTTTCATTTCCAAACCTAATACAAAAAAAAACTTAACCACGAAAGAATAATACAATTAAAATATTTTAATTATGATGTAAAAATCATCTATTTTTTTCTCTAGTGTGTGCACAAATATAATATATAGCTGGAGACTATTGTTGCAGAAACAACTTGTTCGTTTGCTTTTTTTTAAAGGCTCTTAACGAAAGAGAGAAACTTGGTATATCCATGAAGTGACCAACAGATGCAATCTGATAAGAAAAAGATGATTTATATAGTTCCTTGTTGTGTGCTGGTATGGTAATAGGATTTTTTTACTCTTAGATTCAGGTTGTGCACATCTGTTCTAAATTTGATTTTTGTTGCTCATCAGATGGAGATCAAAATAACCATTGGGTGTATTTACCCCGTTATGATCAAAATACAGATATTTTAATTAATTTTACCGATTTCATTTTTTGACTCATAAGTTTCGAACTACCTCGTATATGTTACTGAAATTTTGCTCACGTAATCTCCATAACGTACCGAATTTACTAAGGTATAAATAAAAATCGAACACCAGGTCCATCTTTACAAAAAATGAATAAATTCATCCATCCTTAAAACAACTATGTCCATAATTATTGAATACAACACGAAAACCTGAATCCAATGATGTGGTTTTTTTGCTCATATGATTTTACTAATAAAATTGTTATTTTTTTTTACGTTTTGTTGGTATAGAGTGAAAACGGAAGGGATTTTGTTTATACAAGGTCTGTTCCAACACGCGTGAAAACCGTAATATTACCGTATAAACAATGCGCTGTATACAATTTTTGGGTAGAGCGCATGATTTGTACGGTAATATTACGGTTTTCGCGCGTGTTTGAACAAACCTACAATAAATCGCAGGCTGCAGTTCCGCCACGCTCGTACGGATTAGGGTGATAGTACGGGTGGTCCGAAGGATGTAAACAATAAAAAAGTGAGACATACGCATCACAACCATTCTTTAAATGATGTCTCCCTCTCAATAAAAATTGAAGTAATTTAGAATATGTTTAATGTCAGTTCTATATTTTAGATTCAGGGTGGGTTCTTTTTAAAAAAATTATCCTGTACAATAGGAATTATTATAGAACATGACGTAGGTATACCGGACCCTGTATAATGATGATAATAATAGTCATAAAATTTAGTCCAATTTTATTAAAAATAACTTTTTCTCATTAGTTGATTTTATATATAAAAAAACATACCTATATTTTAATGAATTTGTTGTTAGAATGATTACTAAAAATTATAAAGATGTTTCTAGGAAAACCCGGTGCCACCCCGTTACGCAGCAAGCCACAACAAGTTCAAACACCACCAAAAAGTGAGGAAACGACAATATCATCATACAAACATGGTGCAAAAGTTTCAGGTAAATTTTTTACTATTATAAGAAAAATAGCGTCAAAATTGTCTTCTACGTATACTTCTTCTGGTACTCTAATATGTTTTTGTAGAAAATGTGAATATTCAATCCGATAAAATGAGTAATTCCTTGTCATAAAATTGGATTACTAGGCAAATCTTTATGACCAAACCAACTTAATTTAGAACAAAAAATTAAACTATGCGTGCTTATATTATTAGGCTGAACGACTTCTTGCGCTATAATGAATAAAATATGGGGTTTTAAAATTGTAGGAAATGATAAACAAGAATTCAAATTTATATCACGTTATGAAAAATGGGAAGTGTTGTGGCACCCTACACGATTTTTATATTAAAGTAGTCTATACAATAAATACAACATATTTATTTTCTGAAGTAAATATTACAGTTGTAACTGTAACTTTAACCCATGATAATAATTAAAACATTGCTTTGAAGAAAGTAAAATTAATAATATTGTTAAACACAAAAATTGATGTCGCTCTATTAAAAAAATTATTATTTAGACTCTTTTAGAAAAATCGGTGTTAATTCTTATGAACAACTCACAAATGTCAGTGTCAATTCTTGATTAGGTGGTTGGTTACCTAATTCGTGAATTAAATATATCTGGATAATAAACGAAAGAATTTTAAATGAGAATGGTAAATATGAATAAATCTTCCTAAATAAAAGTACAGCATCTTAAAATAAGGTTTATTATAATAAAAATTATTTCAAAAATTATTCACAGAGTCTTCGCGTCTGAAATTACTCCTACTTTTTCAGTCCATCTCAAAATCTAAAAGCAATAGCGGCAATTTAAAAGTGATTCTGTATCAGAAAATTGTTTTACGTAAAGATAAACAATTGAATTATTCATATGTTACAGGTAGCAAGGAAGAAATTCAGAATGAAAAGAAATCATCGACCACATTATCTCAAGAAAACCGTTTTAGTCAGTTAGATAGAGAAAAAATAACTATTGAGAGTGTAACAAATATTAAACAGGTGCCTTCAACACTATCGCCAGAATTTGAAGTTAATTTACTCACACAGTTGCTCCCTACGGAAATGTTAAACCTCATAACTACGGAAAGAGATTTAAATACAAACATAACAAATCCTTTAATAGATGCTGTACCTGGAACCCCCATTACACTAGAAGGGACTGTCCAATATTCAGAAACAAACTCAGAATCATCTACATATACATATCCTCTAAAAACAACTGAAAATAATAAATATAGTACCATTAATTTTAAAAAATCTTCCGAGGGAGGATCTACCGTGATAGTCTCGGAAAAAGAAAACTTGACTACTGAATATCATATTTTTGACATAAACGAGTTGGAAGAAAACAGTACTCTACTAAATACAGAACAAGAAACTATTTCAGAGGCGGTACATTTAAAATTGACTGCTGATATATCGAAAGCTTTTGAAAAGTTTATGAAAACAACGACGAAGACTAAAACCACTAAAGAAAAAGATGAAAATTGGGAAGAAACTGATCTAACAGAGGAAGATCATGAAAGTAGTAAACAACGGGATCAGAAAAAGAGCACAAAATCCTACTCTCAAGAAGACATTTCAACAAAATCAGAAAAATCAACATCTACTGAAGAAAATATTCTCAAATCGTCGGAATTTAATAATGGAACAAGAAATGCAGACATTTTCGTTCATTCATCTAAATCTGAAAGAATAATTGAAATAACAGGTATTTAAAAAAATTATTTTTCTACGATCACTATCGAAAGTTGACTTTTGTAAACTGCAAAGTTGATGTTTTCAGCAAGCTGTTATAATTTGACATTATTGGCGCACTTGAGCAGAAAGTAACTTTGGCGCGCGCCTAATTTTATTTATTGATAAAATATAACTAGTAGTTACTTTAACACAGAGTATAGTCTAAATAAATATTTTGATTGACTATACCCAACAGTATTTTCCATAAATAATTAAATGATTAAATCATAAATAATTACCGACATATAAGTACTAAAACAATTTTTTCTCTTCAGAGAGTAGGCTTATATCAAATAAACTTACAATATTATAACGAAAGAAGGTAACCCACTTCTAATAAAATAATATATATGTACCAAGGCAGCCAAGTGATTCTTTATCGAACCAGTCTGATATTTGTTCGGTACTTTGCTGACGTAGTCCATACAAACTTTTATCGCCAAGCGTAAATAATTATAATTAATAAAAAAAGGAGATATTATAACATTATATTTTAGAATAAGAAAGTAAACAAACAGAAAAATAACAGCGACTACAAAAAAAAATACATACTATTTCTATCAGACGGCCATGGATAATACCGATAAATATTAACAGCAGATAAAATATTTGATTTTACAGTAAAATAAAGTGTTTACTTCCGCAAATCGAAATAGTAATCCATTGACGGTTGGCCATAAAATAATTTATTGTATTTTTGTGTGATCGTAGAAAAAATCTTGTGTGCAATTCGATCAGAGAGTCCTTTAGCAGTTTCGACAGATTACAACTTTCTGTCTCAACTGCTAAGTGCTACTTTCTGCTCTCAATACGCAAATAGCTATTTTTAAAATTTCTAACAATATTGCCTAGTACGGATATTTAAAATTTTGGGTCTTGGATAAGAGGTATGTTAGTGGATGTGAAAATATACTACCGTTCACCATAATCCTCTTTTACTTTTATACTTCTGGAATACCTTTAAAAAGAATTAAAAAATTGTGTACGAAAATATATTTAATTGCATACTATCTAGTAGTCTAGTAAATCTACTTACCCTATACTGATTTTCGGTCGGTAAATCGAACATTACAATAGCCGATCGTAAGGTGTTGCTCAGGTACACTTTATTGCTTAGATAACTCCTGTATCTGTAACGTTTAGAGGATGGGTTAACCCACGGCCCTTGGGCCTCACTGGGAGTCACTTTCCTCACCCGTTGTGCATCCTCCTAAGTATATAAGCACCTCCTAGCTCGTAAACCAACCTACAGATTTAATGTGGTTGACAAGGTCGCCAAGAGGTGCTTGTCTCATATCGGCCGGTGTTAGCCAATTCTCGCCGAACACAAATATTCTAATAAATGAGAGCATCAAGCAATCGTAGAGGATATGCTCAATGGTCTCATTTTCTTGTTTGCACCTCCCTGCAGAATGCGGACTCTAACGGCCCCATGATATGGAGATGCTTCCGTACTTGGTAATGATTAGTCAGAATACATGTGATCAGGAGCAGATTCTGTCCAGTCATAGTTAAGTATTTGTTTGCTGTTGTGTTGTCAGGATAACTTAAAAGCTACCTGGCAAGTCTGCAGCTTCTTGTTTCGTCCCATCTTTTCTTGAATTTCACAAGGAAATTTTCTTAAATTAGATTTGTCACTACCGATGTTGTTCTATAATTTTGAGAGCTACTTGCATTATTTCGCAAAGTGTTCTCAAAATTCCCTGTTTGCAGAATAACCAGGTAATCTGTATACGATATTGTGTAGTGACTGTCATTATTGAGACGGCTTAAGAGGATGTCGAGGACGATGTTCCGCAGTAGAGGTGATAGCACCCCTCCCTGTGGACATCCTTACGCAACCAAGCCTCTTATATTCACATCTTCAACAGTTATGTTTACTGCTATCTGGCCAGCAACTAGGTGAGGGGTTGAACCAGTCGATCTGCTTGAGTTGTATGCCTGTTGATTTGGGTGTAGTGGTATTGTTGTATAGACGATGATCATCTGCAATATATTTTAAATACGTTTACTATAGGGCGCCGCCATGTTGGTCAAACTTGGGATTGAGGAGTTTGCGCAGTAAAACAAATTCAATTTCTTGTGTCAGTTGCATCAGCTGTTATGATTATTTATCGTTTTTCTGGTTTATTTATCAATTTTTATTAATAAATTGTATTGCTGAGTAGTTTCTGGTACTATTTTTATCATTTTAATATGATTAAAACATGTTTAGTCATGAATTATGATATTAGAGGTAACCTGCCTTGTCAAAGGTAATATTTATTGACTTTGACAGGGTCCTACTCATGTCTCATGTCCTACTATTAGATTTAAGATACACCAGTTTACTTTTCTGTATTAATATATTGTAATATTTTCAATAATTTATGTTTGGTTTGCTTCCTCTCAATAATTGCTTATTGAGAATATTGTATTTATTGTCATATATTTGTATATTTATAATTTACGTTGCAGTTTCTAGTCTTGGAAAGAAACGGTAGTATGGTAGTAAGGGCTACTGAAAGAAGTACCAGCAAAAATATTAACCCTACAAACCCTACACTTTTACGAATCTGATACAATTGGACTATTTTAGGGATATATCTTTAGATAATGTAACCAATATTGCTGGTTCTAGCAGAGATATAGATGACATTGGTTTCCACCCTCACAAAAAAAAAGATTGATACAAACTCAAAGATATTTTTTCATAAATTAATTATGAAGTTTAAATATATTTTATGCTGTAATGGTTGTTGTTTAATAGACATGCTGTACATATTTTATGTTAGTTCTAGAAATTTGTTTTATATATAAAGTCTACAATAACTTAAACAGTCAGGAAGTTATATTTTTTTTAGATTACCCGATACAGCTTTGTCTTCCAGTATTTTAAGTTTCTTTAAGAATTAGGTCACATTAGCTTTATTTATGTGATGTATGTTATTCGCAAATGTAATCTACATAACTTTTGTTGTAACAGACACAAATATACAGTGAGCACCATAAGTCTTACCCCCCCTATCTAACTCGTTACTGGAGTCTTGTTGGGAAAATCGCCGAGATACGTCGATTTTTGATTTCTACAATGTACATTTTTGTATGAATAGTTTACCCTTAATTTCATCCCTTACTGGAGGGGAGCAACCCTTTCGAAAAATCTAAATGGCATGGGGTGGTGAGTGATAGCTCATTTGAAAGAGGGTTTTATTCTCTATTCAACCGTGTAAAAAAAATTGAAATGTGCTTCATTAATTCTCGACTAATTGTTGTTTCAGAATAACGGAAATAACGTAGCGCATTCATCCTTAGAATTAAAATTCGCCCTTGCATGATTTCGGTTTTGGTTTAGATGTGAAGTAAGACTTTTGCCATTAGAAAGTCACTGATAGTCTAGTTGCTTTCCTATTTTGTGAGGTTTTGTTATTTTTAAACAATAACAAATCAACACGTAATGAAGCAAATTTCAAAATTTTTTGCACGGTTGAATAGAGAATAAAACCCCCTTTCAAATGAGCTATCACTCACTACCCCATGCCATTTAAATTTTTCGAAAGGGTTGCTACCCTCCAGTAAGGGATGAAATTAAGGATAAACTAATAATACAAAAATGTACATTGTAGAAATCAAAAATCGACCTATCTCGGCGATTTTCCTAACAAGACCCCAGTAACGAGTTAGTTAGGGGGGGTAAGACTTATGATGCTCACTGTATATATTTATAAAATTTGTTAGAACTACCTTTTTCCCAAAATCAACAGTTAATTTATAACAAAAAAATATTAATGGTTTTATTCCTTTTTATGAATTTATATCGAAACCTATATGTAAAAGTTAAATAATTGATTATTTCAGCAAATTTTATGTGATGTAGTGAAACAAATAATTTTTTTAACATTCACTAAATATAAACACGTTTACAGATGTTTTTTTTTTTTTTCTCACTATAAATTAGTTAATAAATTAGTTAAAGAAAGGATACGTATAATGTAAACAAAACAGTTATTTTGTCTAAGTTCAGACCTGTTTACTCCTTTCTGCGCATGCTCGCTAATCCCAAAAAATAAAAAGATATCGGCTCATTATAATAAATTTTTTTGGTTTATTGCATAGCCTCCTAACACTCTAGATCTGTGCCACATCCCTTATGTATCTTTCGCGTAGCCCTTAGCCCTTAGCCCTTAGCCCTTAGCCCTTAGCCCTTAGCCCTTAGCCCTTAGATCTTCATACAAAACGATGTCAGGCTAATTGGTCGGTATGTTTTTGGGACAATGTAATCCATCCTTCCAGGTTTGGATATTAGGTAACATATTCCAGTATGTTTGTCACTTTATATATAATTACCCATATTTTCATATACAGGGTGCCCCGAAATTAGACGATCATATTTTAACAGCGTAATCTACATCCTAAAATAAAAGTAAAAGTTTATATAAACATAGGTCCGAAAACGTTTCTTTTCAGAGATACAGGGTATTAAAAGTGAAGTCCTGATGACACATTTTTATAAATATTTTCTAAACGTTGAAAAATAACTAAGTGAAATTTGGTACAAATGCTTAACTTTTTACTATCTATTTAATGGACTGAACCCCAGTTTTTGATTATCTTCATAGGTGAGTAAATTAGGGGCTTAGGGTAAAATTGCCCTAAGTTTTTTTGGTGACAGTTTTTAACATTTTTGACTATAAAATTTGGAAGACCAATATTTTCTTTATAATAAAGCTACTCTTGTTGCATCTCGCTAGGACGCACCATTTTCAAGAAAAAAGCATTTGAAAATTTCATGATGAGTTAATGTTATCTTATTCAAAAGTGTGAACAATAATTAGTAGGTCTGCGGAATCAGAAATTTTATTTTTTTTAACTTTGGAAAACCGTGACTAAAGAAATTTTAGAAAATATTTACAAAAATGTGCGGTTCTGGTGAAGGATCCTGAGGTGCGAATTTCATAATTTTAGCATTAATATATTGAAGTAACTTACTTTTTATAATATTTCAACTGAAATTAAATATGGAAGAATACATTTCATTTGCTATTTTCATTTATATTATAATAAAATGCACAATTTTGACTAATTTAATCTAACTTTTATAATTTAATTTAATTTTTTTGGAAAGTTGATATTATGTATTTAGTAAATTATAGTTTTATATTTCATTGTATCGTGTCAATAACCATAGCTGTTGAGACACGTTAATTGTTAAATAAAAAAAAAATCTAACTTTTCATCATTTCCTTCCATAAAACCTAAAATAAAGAGATTCATGAAATTGTCAGTTCTTGACACATACGGTCCTCGAGTTTGCAACGTCGCCATACTATATTGTTGATTTTTATTACTGATAATTTCCAAGTTTAAGATTTCTGTTTGAATAAGAAGAAAATAAGTTATAGGTGAAAATATAATGTGTTATGTGAAACTTTTCATTTCAAATTGAGCTGTATCCAGGCCGTTGGAGTCTATGCCGGTAGGCGTAGCCAAGTGTGGATTAAAATTTTTTGGTGGCGGCGAAGCCGCCACCCTACGGGAAGTCGTTTCGTTTTGAGTGAAAGAAAATTTAAAAAAAGTTGTCTAGGTATTACCTACATGTTAAGTGATTTTTTTAATTTCACTTTTTAATTTTGTATGTAGTTTTTTTGAGCTGCATTTTTAAAATTAATTTGGTTAATATATTAATTTTTTTCATTTTATATACGTTTATTACCGTACTTATCTCTATGAAGCAAACAAAAAATGTATGATTTTTGATTACTTCTTTTTTATAATCTCATAATTTATAAATTTTAAATAATCCTTAAACTTATAATTTTATTAATAACTTGGCAACGTTTGTTATTTTTAAGACAGAAACAGTTAAAGTAATTGTTTTGTGATTATAACCTGTAAAATTGGAATTTTTAATCTAATTTTTTTCGAAAAATACTGCTTCATCCATAGACTTTTTTTCGAAAATTTACTATAGAAACTAGTTACTTTTAAGTGTTTAAAATTTTTTTGGAAATTTCGCACCTCAGGATCCTTCACCGGACCCAAATGTGCCATCAGGACTTCACTTATAACACCCTGTATCTCAAAAACAAAACGTTTTCGGACCTATACTTATATGAACTTTTACATCTATTTTAGAATGTAGATTAACCCTGTTAAAATATGACCGTCTAATTTCGGGACACCCAGTAATTTGAGGATTTTTTTGGTATTAATTATCCGGTATCTTCTGTAGATTTATTTAAAATATCCTCCCAAATCCCAAATTAGGGTGGATGAGACTTATTGTAGGTTAAATAAATTACGAAGCCATATGTCACAAAATAAAATAGGTGCTACTATTTCTCTTCATAAAACAACTACTACCTTGGCTAATACCTTGTTGAGGTATAGATGTTTCAACTTTTATAGCGATCGGGAATCTTCACTTTTTTGTAGTATATTCTCCTTATTCTTGTACTTTTTTCTCTTCTATTTCGTGATTTAGTTTTGTCATTTCTTCACTACTCGTTGTCTTTACCAGGGTATATCGATGTAATTCTAGGGAATGGCCAATTTACTTATTTTTTATTGTAAACTTCTAAAAGAATATCTCTTAGTTTTACTTCAGAAGTTTTTAATTCACCATTATATATCAGATTTGCTAGATATTCTTGCAATTTTCTGCTGACCGAGCTTTGTAGCTCTGCGGTGAGTTTGAGTATGCGTTTTTTCAAAGGTTTTTTTATAGCAATAGATAATACAGGATCAGTAATATCCTCTGCCACTATTCCTTTCACCTCCCAACAGGGGAAATGAAATATATATTTTACAATTTTTCACTTTGCACGGATGGACGGATGCAAAATACTTACACTTGTGTTTCATAAATAAATATCGTTATCTTGTATAAAATGTAAGAGCGTTAAGAATACCAACTCTTCATTTTCTTATATATACGTTATTAGTCTAAAATTAACAAGGCTTCGTACTCACCTAAAACCGTCATCATTTTTTCCTAGATTGCGTCTTAAGAGTTCTTTTGTTATTCTGTACCTTTCAATATTTTTCCAGCTACTACAGTTAATATGAGTAGTACTTTGAAAACACTGGCTAGTAGTTTTTCAGAAGAAGTTGCTATAACAGGAACAAATTCAGGTATAGTATATTTATTTTTGGATTTGTTACTAACACTTTTTATAATAATTTAACCACCAAATATGGAATAGTAGATCGTGTAACAAGAATTGATATGATGTCGATACGAACAATACACTCGAATTGTACAGCATATTTTTCCTACAACTCATTAAAGAAAAACTACAAAATTTAAAAATTATTATTACGTTATGTTATGTTATGTTACCATGTTTTTTTTAATATTCGGTGGTTGATTATATTCCAAAAAATCTTCTGATTGTGTTCTACATTTGTCAATAAATTTCTAAATTTATTAGTTTTTTTTTTCTTTATAGAACCTGTTTCAAATAATTCGGACACTACAGAATTGCTATTTTCAGAAGATCAATACACCATAGGTGAACCAACTCAAATGACCACTACACACAAGTTATCTCAAATTGAAAAGTATGTCACTGGCGTAATATCAGAAATTGAAGAAAACTTTCTCTATAACACTACCGTTACTACAATGTCTACATTATCTCCATTTGACCAATTCGTAACAGCTGTGATATCAGAGGTCGAAGACACTATTAAGAACGAAACAGCACAAACAACAGAGTTAAATATAAGTGAAATATTGCAAGAAAGTATTAAAGATGCAAATACAGCTATATCTCAAAATCCAAATAAAATAACAGAAGTAGACAATATTGAAAATGAGACCCCAATAAGCGAATATGAAAATAGTGAAAATGAATTTTATTTTTCAGTCGAAGACTTGAGTAGTACCACACTTTGTGAAAATTGTAAAGAAGAAGTATTTTCTCCATCAATGTCAAAATCATCCGAAAAAGTAAAATTGACACAAACTACGAATTATCAAAGTCAGAAAAGTACATCTAAAACTAAAACAACAACAAACAAGTCAGAATCAGATGACAGAGGACATATTAAAGTTAAAACTACAAAAAAATTAACACATAATTTGCCTGTTCATACCAATTCAACCACCAGAAAAACGAATCCTGTAAGTGAAGTGATACATTCTTCGTTTAAAACAACAACAGCCGAAGAAACTTCTATCGGCACGTTATCTTCAATTGGAATTAAATCACAAAATGAAAAAGAAACTATTGAAGAGAATAGTTCAGAAACTTTACAAAATCAAAAATATGAATATCAAACTGTAATTACTGAAAAAGAAGAAACTGAAAATGATAATTTTTTTTTCTCTAACTTGTCTCAATTTAATACAAATGAAGAACATGTTACAAAAGAAGACACTGAAGAAATTATTTCTATTAATGAAAATCCAACTGAAGAATTTAAAGAAGAAGACGTAAATTACCCGAATAAAATAAAAACTACTCTATGTAAATCATGCGATGAGAAAGAAACAAAATTTGCAAATAAAAAATTATCAACACAAACCAAATCGACAAAATCTTTAGAAAAATCCAGAACATCTGAAACTGTAAGTAAACCACTTCATACGGAATTTGTAACAGAAACCAGCTCTCAAACACTTTCTATCAGTAAAACGCAACAAATAGACTTAAATGAAACTGCAGTGACTGTAGGCAATAAAGAAGTCAGAGTAGAGATACAAAGCCAAAAAACAAACTTTGAAATACAATCTAGTGAAGAAATTAAAATAACTGGCAACAAAAATGAAACAATTGTTTCTAGTTATGAAACCAAAACAGAAATAACCAGTAATATTGCAAGCGACAAACAGGCAGGTGAATCTAACAGAATGACACAAATGGGTTTAGTTACTACTTCGATGTCTGAGAACCCTGAAATGACCTCAGAAAATGGAGAAAATGAGAACCATTCATCTGTTATTCTAAAAGAAACAGAAGAAACCGGCACAAAAATTATTATGACAGAAACAGAATTAACAACGACTCAAAAGACAATATATGATGAACAGTTAAATGATGAAAAAGTTAAATCAAATTTTACCACCGTGCGCGAAGAAATACAATCAATTGAATCCAATATGACTGAGTTCTCAACCAAAACTACTCAAAAATCAATTTCTGAACTTAAATCCGAAATAATTTATTCCACTGAGATAAAAGAAACAGAATTGTCCAGAAGTGACGTCGCTAAAACAATTACAGAAGCAATATCGACGAGAGAGCATGAAGAAAGTGAAAAAACTGAATCTAACAACCCTTCAGAACTAAAAACCCAAGAAACAAATGCAGAATTAAAATTTTCAGAGAACGTTAAAAAAACAAGTGATTTCGAAAGAAAAGATACAACAGAAGAAAAAGAAATTAGTAAGATTAAAAATAAAGTCGTCGAGGAAAACACACAATCAGTTGCAACCCAAAAGTCAGTATCCCAAGAAACCTTAATGAAGGTTACATCTGAAGAGGAAATGCTACATATTACCACAAAAAGTGAAGAAACAGAGGCAAGTGAGTCTAATCAAAGTACAGAAATATCGGGAAAAGAAACAATGTCTGAAGAAATTCTAGATATTGAAAAAACTGTGACCACGCGTCTAGAAAATGGAGAAATAAAAACAAGGAAAACAGAACTAAATAAAACAAGCAAAACTGAAGAGACAACTATAGGAGTAACTCAGACGTTGGAGTCTGAAGAAAAATCTTCAATAAATATAAAATCGGAACTTACAACCAAAATTGAAGAGACAATCAACACTGAAATGGAAGCAAATAGTATAACTAAAAATAGCGAAATCGTTGAAGAAAACACACAACCAATATCATCACAAAAGTCAATATCCGAACAAAATCTAATTAATGCTACACATAAAGAGAAAAATTTACATATTTCTACAAAAAGTAAAGAAGCTGGGACAATTGAAACTATTGAATTAACGAATATATCGATAATATCTGAAGAACCTTTAATAACCAGAACATCAGGGTTCACAAGTCTAGAAAATACAGAAGTAGAAACAAGGACAATAACTAAAGTTAATAAATCAGGCAAAACTAGTCGTACAACTGCAGAAGTATCAGAGTCTGTGATGCCTACAGCAGAAGAAGAATTTTCTCATAAAACAGCTATAGAGACAAAAGCAAATATTATAACAGAAATTAAAGGAACAAGTACAACTGAAACTGAAAAAACAATAGATACAAAAAAAAAAATTATAATCAAAAGTAGCGATGTCGTTAAAGAAAACACACAACCAATTTCAAGACAAAAATCTCTATTCCACGAAAACTTATTTAATGTTACATATGAAGAGGAGAATACAAGTATTTCCACAAAAAATGAAGAAACTGATACAAGCATATCTAATCAAATAACACAAATATCGCAACAAGAGACAATATCCGAAGAAACTTTAAAAACCGAAAAATCAGTACTTACAAGTCCAGAAAATGGAGACGTAAAAACAATGACAACTAAATTGAGAAAAAACAGCCATACTGATATAACAACTACAGAAGTGGCAGAGTCTCTAATTTCTGAGTCAGAAGAAGAAAAGTCATATGCTTCCACAAAAAGTGAAGAAAGGCAAACAAGTGAATCTAATCAAATAACAGAAATATCAGAGCAAGAGGCAATGTCTGAAGAAACGTCAGATACCGAAGAAGCAATGCTCACAAATACAGAAAATAAAGTGGCAAAAACAAAGATAACAACTAAACTGAGCAAAACTAGTGAGAAAATGTATGTAGAAACTTCAGAGGCCGAAAAAGCAATGCCCAGCAGTGAAAATGGAGAAGTAAAAACAAGAACAACAACTGAACTTAGTAAAATTAGTAAGATAACTACAGAGGTATCGGAGTATTTGACATCTGAGTCGAAAGAAGGAGATAATTCAAATATTTCCACAGAAAATGAAGAAATAGAGATAAGTGAATATAATGATATAACAGAAATATCGGAACAGGTGACAATACATGAAGAAACTTTAAAAACTGAAAAATCAATGCTCACAAGTCCAGAAAATGGAGAAACAAAAACAACTGAACTGGGTAAAATTAGCAAAAGTGGTGTGACAACTACAAAAGTAACTGAGTCTCTGACGTCTGAGTTGAAAGAAAAGGAAACGTCAAATATATCCACAAGTGAAGAAACAGAGACAAGTGAATCTAACCAAGTAACGGAAATATTAGAAAAAAAAACAAAATCAACAGAAATTTTAGAGACCGAAAAATCAATGCCTACAAGTCTAGAAAATGAAGAAATAAAAACAAGGATAACTAAACTGAGTAAAACAACTAAAACTAGTGAGATAACTACAGAAGAACCAGAGTCGCTGATATCTGAGTCGAAAGTAAAGGAGAAATCAAATATTTCTACAAACAGTGAAGAACCAGAAACAAGTGAATCTCATCAAGTAACAGAAATATCGGAACAGGAGACAATGTTTGAAGAAACTTTAGAAACTGAAAAATCAATGCTCACAATACCAGAAAATGAAATAAAAACAACAAAACTTAGTAAAAGCGACAAAACTTTTGTGACAAATATAAAAGTAACCGAGTCTCTAATGTCTGAGTCGAAAGAAGAGAAAACGTTAAATTCATCCACACCAAGTGAAGAAGCAAAGACAAGTGAATCTAATCAAGTAATGGAATCATCAGAACAAGAGCCAATGTCGAAAGAAATGTTCGGAACCGAAAAATCAATGCTTACAAGTCTCGAAAATGAAGAAATAACTAAACTAAGTAAAACAACTGAAACTAGTGAGACAACTACAGAAGAACCGAAGTCTCTGATATCGGAGTCAACGGAAAATGAGGAGAAAACTATTATTTCGATAAAAAGTGAAGAACCGGAGACAAGTGAATCTCATCAAGTAACAGAAATATCAGAACAGGAGACAATGTTTGAAGAAACTTTAGAAACTGAAAGATCAATGCTCACAATATCAGAAAATGAAATAAAAACAACTAAACTCAGTAAAACCGACAAAACCGTCGTGACAAATATAAAAGTAACCGAGTCTCTAAAGTCTGAGTCGAAAGAAGAGGAAACGTCAAATACATCCACAACAAGTGAAGAAGTAGAGACAAGTGAATCTAATCAAGTAATGAAATCATCAGAACAAGAGCCAATGTCGAAAGAAATGTTCGGAACCGAAAAATCAATGCTTACAAGTCTCGAAAATGAAGAAATAACTAAACTAAGTAAAACAACTGAAACTAGTGAGACAACTACAGAAGAACCGAAGTCTCTGATATCGGAGTCAACGGAAAATGAGGAGAAAACTATTATTTCGATAAAAAGTGAAGAACCGGAGACAAGTGAATCTCATCAAGTAACAGAAATATCAGAACAGGAGACAATGTTTGAAGAAACTTTAGAAACTGAAAGATCAATGCTCACAATATCAGAAAATGAAATAAAAACAACTAAACTCAGTAAAACCGACAAAACCGTCGTGACAAATATAAAAGTAACCGAGTCTCTAAAGTCTGAGTCGAAAGAAGAGGAAACGTCAAATACATCCACAACAAGTGAAGAAGTAGAGACAAGTGAATCTAATCAAGTAATGAAATCATCAGAACAAGAGCCAATGTCGAAAGAAATGTTCGGAACCGAAAAATCAATGCTTACAAGTCTCGAAAATGAAGAAATAACTAAACTAAGTAAAACAACTGAAACTAGTGAGACAACTACAGAAGAACCGAAGTCTCTGATATCGGAGTCAAGGGAAAATGAGGAGAAAACTATTATTTCCATAAAAAGTGAAGAACCAGAGACAAGTGAATCTCATCAAGTAACAGAAATATCAGAACAGGAGACAATATTTGAAGAAACTTTAGAAACTGAAAGATCAATGCTCACAATATCAGAAAATGAAATAAAAACAACTAAACTCAGTAAAACCGACAAAACCATTGTGACAAATATAAAAGTAACCGAGTCTCTAATGTCTGAGTCGAAAGAAGAGGAAACGTCAAATACATCCACAACAAGTGAAGAACTAGAGACAAGTGAATCTAATCAAGTAATGAAATCATCAGAACAAGAGCCAATGTCGAAAGAAATGTTTGAAACCGAAAAATCAATGCTTACAAGTCTCAAAAATGAACAAATAACTAAACTGAGTAAAACAACTGAAATTAGTGAGACAACTACAGAAGAACCGAAGTCTCTGATATCGGAGTCAAGGGAAAATGAGGAGAAAACTATTATTTCCATAAAAAGTGAAGAACCAGAGACAAGTGAATCTCATCAAGTAACAGAAATATCAGAACAGGAGACAATATTTGAAGAAACTTTAGAAACTGAAAGATCAATGCTCACAATATCAGAAAATGAAATAAAAACAACTAAACTCAGTAAAACCGACAAAACAATTGTGACAAATATAAAAGTAACTGAGTCTCTAATGTCTGAGTCGAAAGAAGAGGAAACGTCAAATACATCCACAACAAGTGAAGAACTAGAGACAAGTGAATCTAATCAAGTAATGAAATCATCAGAACAAGAGCCAATGTCGAAAGAAATGTTTGAAACCGAAAAATCAATGCTTACAAGTCTCAAAAATGAACAAATAACTAAACTGAGTAAAACAACTGAAATTAGTGAGACAACTACAGAAGAACCGAAGTCTCTGATATCGGAGTCAACGGAAAATGAGGAGAAAACTATTATTTCGATAAAAAGTGAAGAACCAGAGACAAGTGAATCTCATCAAGTAACAGAAATATCAGAACAGGAGACAATGTTTGAAGAAACTTTAGAAACTGAAAGATCAATGCTCACAATATCAGAAAATGAAATAAAAACAACTAAACTCAGTAAAACCGACAAAACCGTCGTGACAAATATAAAAGTAACCGAGTCTCTAAAGTCTGAGTCGAAAGAAGAGGAAACGTCAAATACATCCACAACAAGTGAAGAAGTAGAGACAAGTGAATCTAATCAAGTAATGAAATCATCAGAACAAGAGCCAATGTCGAAAGAAATGTTCGAAACCGAAAAATCAATACTTACAAGTCTCGAAAATGAAGAAATAACTAAACTGAGTAAAACAACTGAAACTAGTGAGAAAACTACAGAAGAACCGGAGTCTCGGATATCGGAATCGAGGGAAAATGAGGAGAAAACTAATATTTCCATAAAAAGCGAAGAACCAAAGACAAGTGAATCTCATCAAGTAACAGGAATATCGGAACAGGAGACAATGTTTGAAGAAACTTTAGAAACTGAAATATCAATCACAATACCAAAAAATGAAATAAAAACAACTAAACACAGTAAAATCGACAAAACCGTTGTGACAAATATAAAAGTAACCGAGTCTTTAATATCTGAGTCGGAAGAAGAGGTATCGTCAAATACATCCCCAACAACTGAAGAAGCAGAAACAAGTGAATCTAATCAAGTAATGGAATCATCAGAACAAGAGCCAATGTCGAAAGAAATATTCGAAACCGAAAAACCAATGCTTACAAGTCTAGGAAATGAAAAAGTAAAAACAACGGGAACAACTAAACTAAGTAAAACAACTGAAACTAGTGAGACAACTACAGAAGGACGAGAGTCTCAGATATCGGAGTCGAGGGAAAATGGGGAGAAAACTAATATTTCCATAAAAAGTGAAGAACCAGAGACAAGTGAACCTCATCAAGTAACAGAAATATCGAAACAGGAGACAAATTTTGAAGAAACTTCAGAAACTGAAAGATCAATGCTCACAATACCAGAAAATGAAATAAAAACAACTAAACTCAGTAAAACCGACAAAACCATTGTGACAAATATAAAAGTAACCGAGTCTCTAATGTCTGAGTCGGAACGAGAGGAAACGTCAAATACATCAACAACAACTGAAGAAGCAGAAACAAGTGAATCTATTCAAGAAATGGAATCATCAGAACAAGAGCCAATGTCGAAAGAAATGTTCGAAACCGAAAAATCCAGTCTAGAAAATGAAGAAGTAAAAACAAGGGGAACAACTAAACTAAGTAAAACAACTGAAACTAGTGAGACAACTACAGAAGGACGGGAGTCTCGAATATCGGAGTCGAGGGAAAATGAGGAAAAAACTAATATTTCCATAAAAAGTGAAGAACCCGAGACAAGTGAATCTCATCAAGTAACAGAAATATTGAAACAGGAGACAATGTTTGAAGAAACTTCAGAAACTGAAAAATCAATGCTCACAATACCAGAAAATGAAATAAAAACAACTAAACTCAGTAAAACCGACAAAACCATTGTGACAAATATAAAAGTAACCGAGTCTCTAATGTCTGATTCGGAAGAAGAGGAAACGTCAAATACATCCACAACTGAAGAAGCAGAAACAAGTGAATCTAATCAAGTAATGGAATCATCAGAACAAGAGCCAATGTCGAAAGAAATGTCCGAAACCGAAAAATCAATGCTTACAAGTCTAGAAAATGAAGAAGTTAAAACAAGGGGAACAACTAAACTAAGTAAAACAACTGAAACTAGCGAGACAACTACAGAAGAACCGGAGTCTCGGATATCGGAGTCGAGGGAAAATGAGGAGAAAAGTAATATTTCCATAAAAAGTGAAGAACCAGAGACAAGTAAATCTAACCAAAAAACAGAAATATCGGAACAGGAGACGACAATATTTGAAGAAACTTTAGAGACCGAAAAATTAATTTTCACAAGTCCAGAAAATGAAGTAATAAAAACAACTGAACGAAGTAAAACCAGCATTAATGGTGTGATAACTACAAAAGTAACCATGATGCCTGAGTCGAAAAAATCTCAAATCTCAAATATCTCCACAAAAAGTGAAGAAACAGAGAAAAGTGAATCTAATCAAAAAACAGAAATATCGGAAGAGGGGACTATGTTTGAAGAAACTTTAAAGACTGAAAAATCAATGCTTACAAATCCAGAAAAAGAAAAAACAAGGAAAACAACTGAACTGAGTGAAGCAAGTAAAACTGAACCGAAAGAAGATGAAAAATCAAATATTTCCACAAAAAGTGAAGGACCAGATATAATAAATGAATCTAATCAAATAACAGAAATATCAGTGTCAATTATTACAAAAAATTATGAAGTAGAAATAGGAACAACAACTGAACTAAGAAAAGCAAGTAAAACTGGTGAGGAAATTACAGAAGTACCGGAGTCTCTGATACCTGAACCGAAAGAAAATGAGAAGTCAAATATTTCCACAAAAAGCGAAGAAACAGAGACAAGTGAATTTATTCAATTAACACAAATATCGAAGCACAAAACAATGGCCAAGACTGAAAAATCAGTGTTCACAAGTCCAGAAAATGAGGTATTGGAAACAAGGATGACCAGTAAGGGATATAAAGCAAGTGAAAGTAAAGAATATTCTATTACGACAACTGTGAAAATAAAAGAGCCTACAACAGAAATTGAAGAGTCAGTTATATCTGAAGCGGTAGAAACAATAGAAGTAGTAACTAATGTAATTAAAAATAACGAAGCCGTTGAAGTAAACACAAGCCAAACATCACAATCAGAAGAAAGTATTTCCACAGAAAATAAAGTAATGACAACTGAATTGAATCAATTAACACAGATATTGGAAAAAATAACCAATATAAATGAACCAAGCACCATTACTCATAAAACTACGGAAGAAGAATATCCTATTGAAACAAATACATTACAAATGAATGAGCTTGGCAACTCTAAAACGACGGACATAATTGAAACTATTAAAACAACGTTTGAAGGAGAAAAGAAGACAATATCTCAAGAATCAACAATACACCGCACAATGGAAATTAAAGAAACAGAAACAAAGAATTCCATTAGCACGGCAGAGGCTGAAAATTATGTAACAATAGAAATAGAAACAGAAATAAGTAGTATAGCTAAAAGCACCGGAGTTATTGAAGAAAAGGTAGAATTATTATCCACCGAAGAATTATTGCCCGAAGAAAAGTTTGATAATAACACATCTGCAGAAGAAAAGGAAACTAGTAACTTATCTGAAGTAGAGACTCAAATGTCAATATTTACTGTACCATCTCAATTAGAAAATGAGGAAGTAAAAGAAATGGACCAATTTAATAACATAACTGAGAAAGAAAATTCTATAACATTAGAATCTTCTATTGAAACAACAACGACCGAAATTATCCCCGAATCTCCATTAGTAAGTAACGAAGATACTGAAATAAACTTATTTAATAACATAACTGAGACAGATGTTTCTGAAACCGAAGAGTCTACTACTGAAACTACAGAAACTACAGAAACAATCACAGAACCCTTTATAGAGGAAAGTGAACTCAATCTCTTCAGTAATATAATAGAATCAGACAAATTTGTAACTGAAATTTCTACAGAAAATCCTCTAACTACATCTACAAAAATTTATATTGAGACAACTGAATTAAATGAAAATGAAACACCTAGCAAGTCTGAAGACACAGAAGCAGTAAACAATCGAGTCGAAGATGAAGAAATTATTACTGTAGATGTTCATAAGATTACAGAAGAAGAGATTTTGAATGTTGAAAACATTACTGAAGAAATAGAAGAAGAAAACTTTAATTTTCCAAATATAATAAAAACTACTATATGTGAATTGTGTGAAGATGAAAATACAATATCATCAGTAGAAGTAAGTGGGAAAGAAATAACTGAACTCATGGAAAATGGTAAAGAAATAGAGAAAACTACTACTTCAGAAAGTGAAATATTGTCCGATGAAATATCGGTGGAAACAAGTTTAGAAACGGTATCTGAAAGTACAAACATAGAAGAATCAGAATCGGAACTTACCATACCTAGTGAACAAAGAAATACAAATTTAACTAGTAATATAAAAGAAACGTCTACCATAACTGGAAGTACAGAAGAACTAACGTTTCATCCATTATCTGAAGAATCCATTTCTGTTGCAACCAACTCGAAAGAGACTACAGAATTATCAGAAAATTATGAAAGAACAGGATCAAATGCCACTTTGACCAGTAACCCATTCCATTCTAATGAAAATTCTTTTGAATCAACCTTAAATGAGGAACAAAAGATGTCAACAAAACAAACGTCGACCTTCAATGTCAAATCAACTTTAACTCTTTTTACAACTGTCATGAGTACAATTTTGGAAGAATCTGAAGAAAATGGTATATTCAACTTTTCCCGTATTGAAGAAGAAATTACCCAGAAAGAAGAAGATACTGAAGAAGAAACTTCTTTACAAACTAGTACAATAGGAATTCACTTGGAAGATATTATTCCGTCTGAAGAAGAAAAGAAATCTACAGAACATACAAGCAAATCGAGTATTCATTATTTAACAAATTCACCGGAAAAGCAAGTAATAACTCATAAACATTTGCATCCACATACAAGACATAGAGACACGACTACAAGTAAAACAGAAAATACGGCTGTTAAACAATATACTACTATTTCAAAAATAAAAATTCCCTTCAAATCTACCCTTCATTCTAAATCAACGAAGTCCCCAAAATATGTTGCTGCTACTTCCACAGAAAATATCAAAACAGTACATTCTGCAACTGAACAACAAGAAGTAAATACAATACCGTTTATGATAGAAATTACCGACAACATTTTAGCAACACTTACAGAAATATCACCAACTACTGAAGAACTGTCAACTGAAGAACCAAATGTAGAAGGAAATTTAGTTATGAATACGGCCATAGAGCAAGAAGAAACTACAGAAGATAATGTTGTTGAAGTAGTGATGCCAACATCACATATATTAACACCTAAACCTAAAACAGTAGTAGTAATAGTAAACAATTCTGGAAGGAAAATTAACAAAATAAACGAAACAATTTTAGAAAAAATACTTAATAAACCTTTAAGTGAAATTAATTTGGAATACGTTGACATAACAAATATTTCAAGAGAAGCAGGAAACGAAACGAATGCTCCTAAAGAAAATGACATTCTAAATACTGGAAAAGAATGTAAACCAAATGAACTCGAATCTAATCAGCGATGCATTTGTGATGTAGACTCATATTTGCATGGATTAGAGAGTAAATTAAATAACATAATCGATGTAAACAAATTAAATTGTACTAGGCTAATTAGCTTTCCTGATGGATTTACAATTACAAATAAAACAGAAGCTCTAAAGAGAAAGAAAAGAAGTCTTTTATATTTAAAGAAGCTGGATAGATCCTCTAACTACATTGAAAATGAAAATATAGAAGATGTTCTTGATGATAATTATAAAATAACTGATTCAGGTACTACTACTTACATTTCTTTCTTGATTATTTGGTTTAGACTAATTATGTATATTTATTTATTTAGATTTAAACATTCTAGTATATCCTGGAAGAAGGGCAAAAATATTCTGTGGAAATAGTGCTGATAAGTTGTTGGATAATCAAAATGCATCGATCCAATGGGAATTTAAAAAAGACCCTCAACAAACTGGTAAGTTTTCAATTTTTTTATGAATAAATGATGACGAATGTAAAAATCTAAGTAACATCTTTCGAGAACACCTTTAGCTACATATGCCTTGATAATTACCTGTAAAATATGCAGCGGAAGAGTGTTACAATGCCTAGACACTCTAAGTAAGAAAAAAGTAGAAAATTTACAATGGGGTAGCCATAGGATTGAAAAATAAAAAATAAATATTGTATCTAACAGAGTTATACTTTGCAACTGGTTTGGGAATTTTGAATTACTTCATAGTCTGACTTACCCAAATGAGCAAATTATGGCGGTATTAGCTGAAAGTCTTGTATTTGCATGTATAGCAGCAATAAATAGTACAATAGAAATACTATTAGATGGACCAAGAACGATTAAAAATAAATACAGTTGAAGCAAATTGAGAAAAATTAAAATCATTAACTAATTTAGTGTCTGAACATAAAGACATTCTAAATTTCTAAACCGCCCATAATAGAAATACCACTCTTGTGAAATATAAAGGACTTTTTGTCCCTATTTTTAGAGTAGGAAAGTTCAGAAGACCAAAAGACTAATAGAAAGGCAGGTTACTAACTACACGTTTACAGCCGAGAATAACGCGCTATTGCCAACGAAACTAAGTAATAAAAAATTAAAATGTTATGCTTTTCCTCAAATGTTTCCATTATGGTCCATTTTAGAGAAATCATGTATTGAACAATAATGGACTATAACAACCGCATCAGAATTTTCAATCTAATTTTTAATGAAATGTCCCGCCCAATTTCATTCTACTGAATAATTACACAATCAGAGCTGGACAGAGTACTGCATTAAAGTACCCATGAGTACTTCACAATGAGTAGCTTTACAGAGTACTCATAAGTATCTGATTATGAGTACTTTTATGAATAATACTCAAAGCTAATGAGTACTTTTGCAAATTTTAGAAACTCGTGAAAAAATCGAGTAACGAGTATGAGTACTTACCTATTTAATTAAGGTAGTTTATTTATTTAAGACCTTCCAGACTACATAAAATCATAAGTGTTACATATAGTTGAACTCTTATTGAATAGGAGATTCCAATAATGACTGAATACACAGAGTAATGAATTTGAAAAACCAAAGTGACTAATAATAGAGAAACTGCAAATCTGGCAACATTGCAAATATCTAATCTGGAATATCCGTATCCCAAAATAAGTGTACCCTAAATTTTGTACAATTAGGACTAGCAATTTACGAGATAATTGGCCGTTTCCAGACTTTTGGGCCACTCTGTATATATGGATATGTTATAATTTAAAATAAAATCCATCCGGCAACGTCGTAAATATTTGAACGGTGGGCTATAGAAATTTGTGACTTCCTCATACTTATTTTAAGTGTTTGTTTTGGTTCAAACAGAATCGCTGAGTCCAGTTCTCTAATACAGTGGACGAATTAATTTTTCAAGAATACGTCACGAGGTTTTTTTTCTCCTGAGCTCATCTGACTATGTGTCTCCGAATAACACTGAAGCCTATTGGCTTATTGTGTTTTACCCCATATTAGTTCATAGCACCCACTCTGTCACCTTTGTACCTTGTTCAAGTTTGTACAGATCCTTGGGTGAGCGGGTTCTATACGTTGTTGGATCAACCTGGGGCTGTCCAAAAAGAGCCTGTCTTTTGCGATCTAGAGCTTCACATTCGCACAGTATGTGTTTGGCCGTTTCTGGTTTCTTGTAACATAGTCGGTACATGAGTTCCCCATTGTACATGCCAATTTTGTTCAAGTGTCCCTTTACTGGGGCGTTCCCAGTCATGAACCCTGTTATTACTTTCAACTGGTTCCTATTCATTGAGAGTAGTTCTCCAGTTCTTTTGGGACATGGTCTGCCTATGAAGGCTTTTCCATGTGCCTGTTTTGAAGTGTTTCCCCAATAGTTGATATGTTGTTTATTTGAATATGCTGATTTTCTACAGCTCTTTCATTGTTCGTTTTTGCACATTGCAAAATCGCGTATACCTCGGCCTGAAATACCGAGGAATGTATTCCTATAGCATAGCTATGATTAGTATCAGGGTTTTTGGAGAATACTCCTGCCCCAGTGCCTTCCGCAGTCTTAGACCCGTCTGTATACCAGGTTTGTTCCTGTCGTTGGGCATTGGGCTCCCTTATGGTGATCTCCGCTCTTTTCTGTATTAAAACCTCAAATGGAGCATTAAAAGAGTACCTCTTGATCATGTGGTCTGATCTCATGTCTAGCACGTCTCCTGTCACTAACCTTGAGATACTGTGACCTGGCTTAATGTCAAGATTTCTCAGTGTATTCCCTAATCTGTAAGCACCTAATCTTGCCTCCCCTTGTATCACATAGTGAAGAGGTGGGAGTCCTATTAGTGCTTCCATTGCAGCAGTGGGGGTTGTTTTCAGTTCCCCCGTTATTCCGAGGCAGGCAAGTCTTTATAACTTGCTTAGCCTCGTTATTGCTTTCCATTGCTGTGTCTTTGGCCACCACACCAAAGCTGCGTATGTTATTATCGGTCTCACCACCATGTTATAAAGCCAGTATACCATGTCTGGTTTTAACCCCCATTTTTTTCCAAAGGATCGCCTTGCCATCATTAACGAGGTTTCCGCTCTCCTTGTGGTTCTTTCTAGATGCTGGTTCCAGGTAAGTTTCGAGTCAATAATAACCCCGAGATATTTTACCTCCCCCTTAAGCTGGATGCTTGCACCTCTTAGGTTTAGAGGCCCTAGTCCCTCCAATTTCCTCCTGCGGGTGAATCCAATTATGTCAGATTTATTTGGGCTAATGTTTAGTCCTTTCGCCTCTGTCGATTTTGTTACTATATTTAGAGCCTCTTGCATTCGATCTCTTACTATATATAGTATTGTATTTTCCCTGTGCCATGATCACTAGATCATCAACATATCCCAGGGTTCTATGTCCCTTATATTTGAGAGCCCTAAGCAGCCCGTCCACTACAAGGTTCCAGAGGAGTGGAGACAGCACTCCACCCTGTGGACATCCTCTAGCTACCCGTGTCGCTATTGTCTCTCCCATAAGGGTTGTGTGTATAGTTCTCTCTCTTAACATAGAGTCGATCCAGGACACGCATGTGTCCTCGATTCCTCTGTGTTTGAGAGATCTAATGATCGATTCAACGAAGGTATTGTCAAAAGCACCCTCGATATCCAAGAATGCTCCCAGCATTACCTCCTTGTTTTCCAGTGTGTTCTCCACCCTTTTTATTAATTAATGGAGAGCTGTTTCAGTTCATTTCCCTGCACTATAGGCGTATTGGTCTTGGTATATTGGCTTCTGAACCAATATCCTCTCTCTAATATGCCTATCTAGCAGTTTTTCCAAAGTCTTAAGTACAAAAGACAAAAGACATTGGTCTTAGGGACTTTTCCGTTTCCTGTCCCATTTTCCCAGGTTTTGGTATAAAAGTTACCCTAATATTTCTCCAAGCTTTTGGTATATGTCGAAAGGCAAGACTATTTCTGAGTATGTTACAGAGTCTATCAGAACCTCTTTGTAACATTATTGGATAAATCCTGTCCATGCCCGGTGATTTGTATGGTTCAAATGAGCTAATTTCCCCATTTCAGTTTATCGTAGTTCACCACTTGTTTGGCTATCCTCCAATCTTCCCTGTTGGCTCTATTATGAGCTTCCAGTCCGTTTAGATTCTGGTTAGCCGATCTGTGTGCTATGGTTTGTGCACCAGGGAAGTGAACCCTGAAGAGTTCCCTTACTGTATCCTTCCCTGTGATTATGTACTCCCCCATTTCATTCTTAAGGGTGTTTATTGTGTGTTGTGTGTCTTTTGAGAGAATTTTTTGGAGCCTGGCACATTCTTGAGTGCTTGCTATATCCTCACAGTGCCTTCTCCAAGACTCTCTCTTGACTTTTCGTAAGGCTATATTGTAACGGATGCATTTGGTTCTATATAGTTCCCATTCGCCGGTTATTTTAGCCTTATTAAATTTTTGTCTCGCCTATTTCCTTAGTATAGCAAGGTCATCATTCCACCATGGAACTTTCCTGATAGAGTTTCTTGCTATTAAGGGACAGGTATCGTTGAAAGCGCTAGTGACTGTGTCATTAAACTCATCCACAGACATTTCTAGGTCGGTTGTTGTTCTTATCGTCTTTCTCATTTTCGGAAGATTGCATTCCAGGGAAGCATTGTATGCCTCCCAGTCTGTTTTCCTGGGATTCCGATAAGTTTCTTTTGCAAAATTACCTTTAATATTGAAGTTTATGAGTCTGTGATCTGATATACTCTCTTCGTCAGACACATGCCAGTCTGTAACAAAATTACTCAAGTATGTTGATGCTATTGTTACATCTAGTACCTCCTTTCTGTTTTTTGTTATAAAGGTCGGTTTATTGCCTACATTTGTTATGTCTAAATTATTTGCCATAATAAATTGTAGTAATGACTCACCTTTTTCGTTGGTATCGGTGCTTCCCCAGATCCTGTGGTGTGCGTTTGCATCATAGCCAATGATCATCTACATTCCGTTGCGCCTGCAGAATCTCACCAGCTCCTCCACTTCTCTGGTAGGTGTTGCTTCAGGGTCGTCTGAAGGTAGATATGCCGATCCGAGTATTACCTCCTTCGGTCCATTTCCTGCATCGATCTTGATTCTGACTGCTGTCAAATTTCTGGAACAGAAATTAGTTATTTTTATACCTTTTTTGACAATTATGCAGGTTCGAGGGGTGTCTGTGGATCTATCATATATTAACTCTCCACCCAACCCTCCTAAACATCTTATTGTACCGTGTCTAATCCACGGTTCTTGTACCAGGACCACTTCAAACATCCCCATCGCCACTGTAAGTACAGCCGAAGTAGCCTTACAGTGCTGGAAGTTGATTTGGATTATCCTGATCCTCACCAGGCCGCCTTAGGACCCTGAAGGTCACCCTTCCTAGCTCATAATAGGCCGGGAATTGTGACCTCCCGAGGGCCCCGTACGACGCTTCGTCAATTGAAAAGGCTAGGAGTTGCCCTTCTTTTTCAATTTTTCTGCTCATTAAAAGCCAGTCCGGCGTCTTCAGTTCCGTATTCTGGAGCTGAAGAAGTCCCCTGACTGTTTCAACTTCGGACTCGTCCGGGATGAAAACCAGAACCCTGGGTCTTCTCGGGAGGTCCTTCAACCACGGTCAAATCCGCGCCCTTCCAAAGGTTTTCCAGAATGCCGAACGTCCTCCTTAACCAGTCCGCGGTCTGCTGGTTAGCGCAGGTCACATGTTCTGTGGAACTGTGGTGCTCCTTCACTGCCTGAAGGGGTAGCGTAGAGCCTTTTCACGAGAGTTTCTTGTACCAAGTCTCCTTGTGCTTGGTCTAGGGTTGTATCTGGATGACTTCTCTGGATGACAGCCAGTCGGATACCCCTCAAAGTGTCGCTGTATGAGCCAGCCGATGCCGGAGCATTTCTGGCCCGCTTACTTCGAAGGGGGGAAGTCTGCGACTCAGATCGGGGCCTTTTATCCCCTTTCTTCGCGAGGTTATAACAACCTCTTTAACTAATCGAGTGTTATTTTGTTACCACGCGTTAAGTGTAGCGATTACAATGTTGCAATCATTTTATGTAACTACACATCGACTGCTTTTAAAATATTTTTATTTTAAAAATCTATGTCTTTTTACTAAGACGGTCAAAAAATTCAGCGTTTTTTTTTGAAAATTTTATTTCTTGATTTACATTACTTTAGTTTTAAAAAATATGATAAGAACTGTTTTAGAGATATCTTAAAATAAGTGCATTGCTTGTATACATGACGTGCTTCAAGAGTGTTAATTTTGCACATTTTGATTTTAATATCTAGTTAAAACACACTCTCATTAACCTTATTTATTCGAATACACCGTCACACGATGAAACAGAAAGATGGGGTTACTGTTATTTTAAAAATATTTTAAAAATTTTTTAATTTGTTTGTAATCGTCCCCATGTTTTAATAGTTTATGACTGCACCCGAAGATGGAAAAGTTTTCCAAAACATATGTAGTGCTGTGCTAAACAATTGAAAATAAAAAAAGACCGAATAAACCAAGGAAATTTTTATTTATATTTAATTTATTTATAGTTTATTTATTTAAAACATACTATTTACAATTTAGTTATGACATACTAATTAATTTATATAATATTTTGGCACTATTATAACTCACAATTCTAAGGAAATAACGTCAGAAGAAACTTTACTTTCTAAAGAAGAAATATCGGAAGAAATATCGGAAGAAATATCGGAAGAAATATCGGAAGAAATATCGGAAGAAATATCGGAAGAAATATCGGAAGAAATATCGGAAGAAATATCGGAAGAAATATCGGAAGAAATATCGGAAGAAATATCGGAAGAAATATCGGAAGAAATATCGGAAGAAATATCGGAAGAAATATCGGAAGAAATATCGGAAGAAATATCGGAAGAAATATCGGAAGAAATATCGGAAGAAATATCGGAAGAAATATCGGAAGAAATATCGGAAGAAATATCGGAAGAAATATCGGAAGAAATATCGGAAGAAATATCGGAAGAAATATCGGAAGAAATATCGGAAGAAATATCGGAAGAAATATCGGAAGAAATATCGGAAGAAATATCGGAACCAAACCTTCATTTTCTAGTGCTTTTTTAAATCGTTCTGTCAGCTCTGATTTCTTCCTTGTCACTCAGGCACTGAATGATCTAATAATTAATTGAAACACTCAACCTTTTTTTCCTTCGGGCCACATTCGTATATGTGCTATGTTACACGGGCCGCAATATTTTTGGATGATGACCTTTTTTTTAGGACATCTATCTCAAATTAGTTAGTGGTGACCTCTAATAAATAAAACACAAAACATAAATTTATCCCGTTGTGTCACTGCAAAAACAAGATAACACATTTTTAGAGTTTCGATAAAACACTATTCAAACGTTTAAAACTGAATAAAAAATCAGTAAAAGCTTTAAACCGTTTATTAACTTCAATGAAGAAGGTATTGAAAGCATTGTTCACAAAGTATAAACTAATAATCTAGGTAGATTGTGATAATAATGGTGAAATTCATCAGGTGTATCTGATTTTGCAAAATTTTAGTTCTTGCACTTTTTTGTAAGCATTTTCAAAACTTTGTTTCATCCTTTCATGCATCCCTATGAATAAATACTGTGCGAGTTTAGCATATAAAGCCGAATTCCCCACCCTCGTCCATTGATAAATAAAATATATTTTTTTGATGGAATGTATTTAGGATAGCTGAATCTTTTGATGCATTGTCTATTAGAAAGTATGGTTAAAATTCATATTCTTTTATTTACTAATTTTCACATAAAGATTCGCTCGTTACGGCTTGACGAATTACTCGTTACAGCTTGACCAATCACCCGTTACATCTTGACCAATCACTTGTTCACCACGGAGATTCGAACATCACGTGTTATTATCTAGTGGTTGTTTAAGGTTAGCTGTATCGCGGAAAGAAATGGTGGCGTAATCATCTCGTGGATTTCTGATAAATTGAGAAAGGCCAGAGACGGCTCTAGTCATAACAAAACAAATGGCGTGGGCACAATGTTGTAATATTTCAACAAACACATTCAACAAACATAAGTAGCGACAAACCACTCCCGAAATACTGGTACGTTTTCACTGGAAATCACCGAAATCAATACACATTTTCTCGAAAATTCCAAAATCATGTTCGAAATCAATTCGTCGCTCACAACCCAAAATAGCGAGAAAAAAGATCATCGCATAAAATTAAGGTGGATATTCAGTAAAATCACCTAAATTGCATAAAAATGTTTTAAGTGATTTCCGAAATACAGGTACATTTTCACCTTACCTTATTGGTTTCCCCTTGGTTCTGGCCTGTATCTTGTTTTTGCAGGAACACTAAATATATTTAGCAAAAATCAGTTATATGCCTATTGTCTGGTTTTGGTAGACACATTTATCAATTGAACACAATGTTATGATTATGTTTTGGTATAAATGCCCATCTTATTTGTCCATATTGTTAATGTATTAAAATGGTGTTAGTTTTTATTGGCTATCTGTTTATCGTGAATATAGACTTCTTTCACACTTGTATAAAGTGTACCTACTTAACTCGAAAATTCCAAAAGTGGAGCTATCTTGTTTTTGCAGTAACCCCATAAAAGTCCAAACGTTTATTTAAAAATTAGCATGCTATTTTGCGCTGCGACCAATAATAATGTTGCGGGCCACAAATGTTTGAAGGGCTGCCTGCTCTAGAACCTTTCGATCTGTTCTAGTAAGGGTACGATTTCGGTGACGCGGCTAGCAGCTGCGTCTCCAGCCGCTGCACTGGTTTGTAGTTTCAAATGGAACCAATTTGGCTTGCGCAGCGCGACTAAAGCGGCGGTAGCCCGCGCTACAGCGGTTGCTGTTCGACTGCTCGCGAAGCAGTCGAGCGGCTGAAATCGTAGTGACTAGGGCAAAAAAATGGCGCCATTTACGTCAAATGACGATGAAATTTTAATCAACGAAATACAAAAATATCCCGTAATTTATGATTATGAAGACAAAAATTACAAAAATTTATTTTTAAATTTATTAATAAATGAAAATACCCTTCCTCGCGTCGCCTTTTAAACATTTATCTACTTTACACCTTTTTCTAGATAACATTTGGTAAAATTCCTCTTCATCTTCCTCTTCTTCTAATAAAATTAATGTTATCAAATCGTCTTAATCAATATTTTTTAATAAACCCCGCAAAAATTTAAAATGACAGACGGCTGCCTAGAACTGCGTCACCGAAAACATCTTTTCATCGCGGCTACAGCTGCCGCGGCCAGCGTCTCTAGTTGCACAGCTCGAGTAGCGTCACCGAAATCGCACCTTAATACGTTGCGATGTCCGATACAGAACTCACGACGCCTACCAAAAATGTGTAAATGTTTCTCCTTTTCAGGATACAATTTCTTTGCGAATCATAAAATTTAAAATAAGAGAAAACTTTTATGAATTATTTTTTAGTTGAAGTCCTTCAGTACCATGAAAATCCTTTAGTAATCACAAATGCGGATATAAAAACAGCTGGCAATTACACCTGCATAAAAACCTATAAAAACGGACAAAAAGAAAATTACACTCACGAGTTAGAATTAATAACGTTCCCAATTTACAAAATCGCAATCGGCATGTACTATTCCGTTAATGACAGTTGTTCATTAAGTGACGGGGACATATTATTTGCATATTTACCCAAAATAGTTGGACCTGTTCTTTGTGGAAGAACTGGAAAATTGTGCAGAATGGATATGGAAAGACCACGGTGTTTTAGCAAAGTAAGTTTTTCAATTGAAAACAAAATATACATTTTATGGCATTAGTACAGTTCATTTACTTTATAATTTATTCAAACCTTTAACTTTTATTCACAATACAACAATTTTAAGGTTGTTGAAGTTGTAATTTATACTAAAGAAAATTATCTCTCTATTTTAATTAAATTAGTGTCATATGATAGCTAAAAGACTATCCTTTAAATAAAACTATGTTTTAACGGAAGTATGTTTTTAAAAACCAGAGCAAGCCATAGATGGTCTAGTGTCAAAAAATTAATAACCGATTTTTTCCAATGCAGCCTTATAGACCGTCAAATAGTGACAGGTTTAGGTGCCCCATTTTCGCAGACAAGCCTCGAAGATGGTTGAAAAGTACATGGATTTTAAGTAGAATGAAAGGATAACAAATGGAAAATTCGATTTTCCTTAGCAAAAATTAAAGGTATTTGTTGCTTATACTTTCACGTAAGTTGTGTGCGCTAAATGATTAACTAATAGAACTAGGCTTCAGAAAATCAAAGGCTTTAATGTTGCAAGTGACTAATAGAACTAGGCTTCAGAAAATCGAAGGCTTTAATGTTGCAAGTGACTAAAGGGTTAAAATAAAGGCATAAACCAAATTTTAACCGATTTTTCCACACAAGCCCATCGAATGTATAAAAATGTACATCGTCACTAGTCCAAAAAATATATAAGCTTAAATTACCCGACTGGATAAGTGCATTTTGGGGCCGGAAAATATTGGATTTAAAGAAAATTGAATTTTTACACGTTAATTTCCTTTTATTCTACTCAAAATCGATGTTCTATTACACCCTCTTCGAGGCTTGTATGCGAAAATGGGGCAACTAAATCGGTCACTATCTGACGGTCATGGTAGGCAAGTAGTGAGGGTGATATTTTAGATTTTGTGATTCTGTACATAGTCCAATTAAATAACGAAAAAAAGCCCCTTCGAGCTTACATTAATTTGTAATTGGATGAAACAAAAAGGACCTTGTGTATTTTGATGTGATCTTTCCGAAAAAAAGAAAAAAAAGATGTAGCAGTTTTTCAATTTTTTTTAAATTAGGAAAAACCGGGTTTTCCGGAATTTTCCATTGTAAACATGCTAATTATCTGGGCAACTATCATTCCGATAGTGAAAATAAATGCACCATTCGAAAGAGGAGGCAAAAATAGTTCGGAAATCCATTGCACAGGTAGTTTTAATGGCGAATTTCTCGCCTCCAGAAGTGCTTTTACCAAAAAGTCGTTTTTCTTTTTTTTGATCAGAACCACGGACATGAAATTTGCGATGAATTTGTGGCGAAATTATAAATGTTAGACATATGTGTCCATGAGAGAAGTTGCGTATTTTTTTGTTGGCTCTCAAATAAAATAAGTCCCGCGGCGAAATCTGCCATAATTTTTTGGGAATTCGCAGGAAATCGGAGGGAGTAGTTTTTTTTGAATTTTTTTCCCATGATTTTTTCCGGGTTTTCCGAAAACATCTAACAAAAAAAATATATTTGAAAAAACTAACTTCGCCATCGAAAAGAGCACAAAAAAATACACAAAAAGGTATACTTTAAAAATGTTAGGAAATTAATCCTAAGCCTGAGTGTAAGTTCCAACTTGGTGATAAGCTTGCTTTTTGTTCTCTAATATCTGGTTTTTAGTTATTTACAAGAAAACTTGAAATGAGAGAAGATATATATGCATGACAAAAATACGTATTTTCTAGTTACGTTCCGAACTTTTTGAAAAAAATTGCAAAACAATTTTTTCTTAATTTCTCGTACTTTTTTCTTAATTAACTCGAAAACTAATTATCTGAATAGAAAACTGTTTCCATCAGATGATAGAGAAAAAAAAGACACGAAAAACTGTGGTTATACATTTTTTCTAGCATCCACTGTTTTCTGAGCGCACGTGTGCAAAGATCGGTAATTCTCGCGAGAATTGAAGCTACTCGAATTTTCTGGCAATTGGGAGAGAAAGTAAGCTTGTTTCTCATTAAACTTACTGATTCTAATATATTTTTAGTCTGTAAAGTGCCCAAATTACGGAAAAAAATCGACAGTGTGCTTGTTTTTCCTCAAAAAAAAAAAAAAAGGGAAAATGTTGGATTTAAGAAAAAACCACTCGTTTTACGAGCAATTTTCTAAGCACAAAAATGCGTAGTTTTCGGTTATATTTCGAATGTCATAGGTCGCATTGCAAATCTGCAATAGTTCACTCTCTGCAAGTGTCTAATGACATAATAAACACAGGCCAACCATTGCAACCTGGAAACAAAAAAATTATAGCACTGTGATAGAATTTTCTTAATTTAGAAACGTACTTACTCAATAAATTGCTGAGAAGTTCGAAAAGCCACGTATACACAGAGCTTGCTGAACACGGTTATTAAAAATCTATGCCGATGAAGACTATCAAGCGATTCAATTTGTAAAAATATGACCCTTTGAAGTTTAAACTTGTCAGATAGCGAACGCCAAGACCATTACTATCCTTGATGCGACGTGCGGCTAATTTGACGATAATTCTATATTTTGCACAAAACTCAAGAAACGTCTTATAACAAGTCAGTAAAATACAATTTTATAAATTTTAAGCCTAATAAATTTAGATATGTAAGAAATTTAAAACTGGAAATCGCAAAAAATCAAATTACAGTAATATAGTGTATACACGAGTTTTGGATCCCGCGGAGCGCGTGTAATGGGACTTTTGTCGGGAGAATTCTACAACTTAGAAGAAACATACACACTTTAAACTTTCTATACACATTTAAACGACATGAAATTTGGGTTTGCTTAATTTTCAGACCAAAAAACTAAAAATTGTCAATTTTAGGCAACTTTTCTCAAAAACCGTGTTTTTTGGTCGTCACTCAATGAACAGTGGTCAAAAAAATAGATAAAATATATTTGCAGAATTTTCTGTAATGTAATCGTATTCTAGACACAATAGAGTATGCATTTTTGGCATTTTTGTGCCACTTCAAATTTTCGAAAAAAAAATTATTTTTTTTTTAAGAAAAAAAATTTATTTAATTGTTTGATATCTTAGCCAATTATGGTCCGATATCGGTGAAATTCACACACACATAAGATTTCACATTTAAGATTAAGCTTTGTAAGTGGTATTAAAAAAATTTAAATAGTTTGGCCGTTATAGGCAAACAATGAAATTAGGACCGCGGTACACTTTTCCCTTTCGCCATATGCCCAATTTTGGGATTTTTTTTGCCCCCTTCTGGGAATTACTAGTCACATCCCTTAAGTTCAAAACGCATTTTTGTTTTTTCAAATATCCTAATTTTTACCAATGTTATGAAGAATTTAGTGTTTGAACATTTAACAAAATCAATTTTTCGACCTTCGTCGCCTCAAAAATACTAAGCAAATTTCAATCGTCTATACCGCGAGAACGGTGCATCGGATAAAAATTTCTCAGGAGACATAAAAATTAGCATTTTTCCTAAGCTTTCAAATGTCGTAAACTGCGTTTTAAAAATATTGATTTATTTCCAACATGCGCCTGCGCAAAATTGAAAAATTGACAAAATCCAAAATTTCGGCACTTTCGAAAAACTGCTACATTTTGTTTTGCCTTTTTTCGAAAAGATCACCTCAAAATACATAGAATTCATTTTGTTTCATCTAATTACAATTTAAACCCGTAATTTAATTCGATTAACATAGTTATCATGCATTTATGACAAAATTTGTTAAAAAATTGTCATATCTAGATGCAATAAGTATTAGACATGAATTGAAAATTTAAATTTGAAAAGATTAAAACATAAAACAACTTACCTTCAAAGTGAAAATGAAAGTCAAATTCATCATACTTGCAGTTTATTGTCCTAAGTCTACCGATTCTATAATATCAACTTGCCTTCCCCTAGGTTGGGGGAGAAATAGGGGGAGGGAAGTTGGGAGGTTTAATATCGTGTCAGACTAGGCCCTGCTATTAGTTTTTTTCTATCCCTTATTATTTAGGCGTGGCAGAGGAAGAGTAGGGGAAATTGGAGGAGTGGGTGAGAATAAATTGTTTTTTTCTTTCGTTTGCGATATCGTCCATGTTGGTTCCAAATTAAAGGGTGCTCATAATTGTAAATCAATGGATTTCATCGAAAGTTGGAAAAACAAATTTCCAATTTCAAAAGCTTGTCAGTAGATAATAAAGATTACAAAAAGAAAACCGGTTCCCAAACAAAAGAGAAAATGGTATCTTTACCCATTTATATATAGATATTTCGTAACAGACTGTACTTTCTCGACGGCCACAGACACAGTCGGAGTTAAATATAGGAAAATGAAAATGAACAAAATGAAATGTTTAATTAGGCAAGTTTTTACTTAAATGGTTTGTTTAATTTGTCATTTGAGGAGGCAAACTTGCATATCAGAATCATTAAATTCACCCATTTTTGAACTTAAGTTTGACATAATAAACACCGCTTATTTTTAATCAAAATTTTAGTTAGAATTTTTTTCAATATTTCAACTCAAAATGTATAAAATTAAGATAACTGCTCCAGAAGGGAGTTTGAAAGTTGTGATAGACATTAATTCAAATCACACTAATGATGTTTATAGTTATATATTTTACCCACTCACATGTAAATAAGAGGGCATTAATAAAAAAAATGGAAAAATGTCCAATTTAATGACAGAATTGTTCGTTTTTGTTAAAAGTTAACTGTCAGTGGATTACAACTTACGTCACAATTATGAGCTCTATCAGTGGCGCTACAATGCAGGAGTAACTCAAATACCATTTCATAAAATTTTCTTCCATTATCCAATCACTAGCCAGATTTGAATAGTTTCTTCATGTCTAGATAGCCTAACCTTGTCGCAACAAGTTTTTCCTGATCATCCTAAAACATAATTTAATCCGTCAACGAAGCCGGTAAATGGCGTTGCGGTCAAAGATGGTTGCAACTATGCTAAGATCTTCGACATGCCCTCTTCTTTAAAATGACCATCGTTCAGTTATTTTAA